ACACATTAATACACATTTTGGGAAAACAAAATCTCATCTGTGTGCTACTTATGAGACATCTGTCAGGCATCCAGCTAGCTTATCTTTCAGTGATTAGAAGTGAGAACAGTTACTCGTCTGCTTTTCTTTGTATTCTGTCAGAAGTATACTGTTGTTAGTGGATACTCATATTTACTGCCAACCTTGTTATGTATGTCTAACTCAAATATCCAATCACCCAATCACAAGGCAGCAACCCAACGTATTTAGTAGGGGTGCAACGATATTCGTATCGATATTGAACCGTTCGATACAGTGCTTTCGGTTCGGTACGCATATGTATCGAACAATACAATTTTTTTAAAAAAATTTTTTTTTAATTTTTTTTTTTTTTTTTTTTTTGTGTCCCGTTTGGATCTATAGCCATCAGAATTGTTGTCTTGAGGCCAAGAAAGATGCCAAGAGGATTTATTTTAAGTGGATCATCATATTGGTCCATTTGATTGACCTTTATTATAATTATGAATTTATTTTATTTTCAGTTGCAAACGGGACAGACATGACTGTGGGATAGGACAGGGGGAAAGAATGAAAGAAAGAGGGGGAGAGAAAGAAAGAAAACCAAAGGGGAGAAAAAAAAAGAATACAAAATTTGTAATTTATTTTATCAACTTTCCTTCTGACGATGCTGTCTGTGTTGAGCGCTCAGTGAATCTGCATTTGACTACTCCGCCTAGGCTCGAGAGTGCAGCCTAGGCGGAGTAGTCGAACGCAGATTCACTGAGCACTCAACACAGCCATGGTCAGAAGGAAGAGCGCAGGGCAAGCTAGCGAGACAGAAGTGGACCTCCCCACCCTCATTCAGATCTGGCGTTTGGAATTATTTTGGTTTTCATGTGACGTATGACCCTGAAGGTAAAACAGTATGTTGGATGTGCCATGCAATGCTCAATTACATGGGTGGGAGCTAGTGTGTTAGCGCAGTTAGCTCGTTAACGTGTTGGCCGTCTAGCCCCTCTGTATAGGGTAGCTCGTTAACGGAGATTTGCCGTGTTGTGGCGTTAAGGTTATTTCAACGAGATTAACGCTGACAGCACTAGTGGGAACACAACGAATATGACTGCACATTTACACCGACATCATCCTAGTGCAAAGACAAAAACAACAAGCATGCATGCTACAAACTTTAGCCGAGTCATTTAGACAGCTGTTAGCACAGGATTCTCCTTATGGAGACCTGATATGTTTAATATGCTGCTGAGAATATAGCCCAGAAGAAGCGGATAGTATAGCTTTTATTTTGGAAAGAGACATTTCTCTGTAATAAACTCTCTTTTCCAAAGATGAGTGATTCCTCAATCAGATACAGGGCTCGCAATATCGCTAGCCCGGGGCTAGCGATTTTTTTCAGTCGGGCTACCAAAATCTATCTCTTCCCTGCCTGTCGGGCTATTGTAGGAAGGAAAAATATATGTCAATGCTTTTGCATTCTTTCAGAAATGTAGCTGGGTAATTATGTCATTGGTGGTGAGCCACTGTCAATATGTGACATATTGAAATCGTGTTTGAGATTTGCGCTTGTTTTTTTGCTTTCACTTTGCAATCGCGCGAACTGTGTATAGAGAGCGACAGCACTGATCTGTGAGTGATGATAATTTGTGCACCAATTCCTCTGACATCGTCTTATTAATTGTTAGCTTACTATGCAAACATGACAAGTGAAATCTCCCGCAGCTTAAACATGTGAGAGGTTGATCGCGCAGAGAATCGCTGAGCTTATGTGAGTGCGGCAGGATATATATTTCACTACGATGACCTGGATGATTGAGAACCTTCACAGACAGATATATATTTTAGTTCTGCTGAGCCAAATAAGACAGGTCAGGGTGAAGAAGTGACAGCCAAAGAAAAGCTTACCACAAAACGGAGAAGTTATGACAAATCAGACTATAAGGCAAAAAGAAAGTGCAGCTTTATGGTTTCATGGACAAAAGAATTTCTGTGGCTGCAATATGACGAGCTAAAAAACAACACGCACAAGGGTTAGGGTTAAATTTAAAAACTGTACTTTTGGTTAAAATATATATTTATAATTTTAATAAATGACAAATTAAAAAGGCATGAACATTTTTTTTGTATCGAAAAAATATCGAACCGTGACACCAAAGTATCGAACCGAACCGTGAATTTTGTGTATCGTTGCACCCCTAGTATTTAGATATGTAAACACAGTGGAAATGAATTGTTGAATGAATGAAAGTTCAAACTGAGCATCAGAAAGAGGAAGAAATGCAACTGAAGGCGGTGCGGTCGGCATGGTTCTTCAGAAACTGCTGATCTGCTTGGTTTTTCCACGCAAACATTTCTATGGTTTACACAGAAAATGTGTAGTGAGCAGCAGGGAGAACTTGCTGATGTCAGAGGTCTGAGGTGAATGCTTTGAGCTGATAGGAAGGCAGAAGTAACACAAATAAGCACTTGTTATAACCAAGGTTTGCAGAAGAGCATCTGTGAACACACAACACGTCAACCCTTGAAGGTGATGGACTAGAGCAACAGAAGATCACACCGAGTGCTACTCCTACAGAAAAATAAGTTTAAATTAAGACAGACACACCAAAAACGTTGGTCTGATGAGTCTCGATTTCTGCTGTAACATTTGGGTGGTAGGGCCAGACGTTGATGTAAACAAAATAAAAGCTTGGTTCTATGTTGACTTGTATCAATATCTGACAGTTTGTGGTAGTGGTGTAATATTTTCTTGGGAGACTTTGGGACCCTTAGTACCAACTGAGCACTGTTTAAATGCCACAGCCTACCTGTTGCTGACCATGTCCATCCCTTTATGACCATAGAAGATGCTGATGTCCACTCTGATGCACAATAACAAAACAGAGGTTATCATTAGAAAATAACAGTCAGCGAGCACTGACAAGTGAAAAACAAATTGAAAATCTTTCTCTTTTTTGACCACCTTTGTTTATGCAATGAAACGGGAACTTCATATTTTTATTCTAAAAGATTCATTCATTCCTTTTGAAACATGAATTAAAGGCTGTGTGTTACAGCCTTTTGCTGCATGCATAAGCCGTTTTGGGAAATGCATCTCTGGTGGTAATAACTTCAAAAAATGTTGCAAGTAATGTGCCAGAGCATTGCAGAAAAACTGCAAACCTCCCAGCTCTGCCAGGGATCTGTGATCAAGAAGTGGAGTGATGGAGATTTGCATCATATGACCTAAACCCCAGCATAGTTAGTTTGGGATGCAGAATGAAGGAAAAGCAGCCATCAAGTGCACAGCATACGTAGGAACTATAAGGTCACCACCTGACTGAGAGACTAAAGAGTGTGCAAAGCTGTCTGTATTTTTGTAGATGAGTGGAGGCTTCTTTGGACTCAGGCTGTACTTATGTAACCCCCACAGCACCGTTTGGCAGAACATCCAACTAAAGAGCCAACTTCAAAGAGATTCATCATGTCCTTCAAGGCACCTCCCCAGTCAGTCACTACTTAATATTCCAGGTATCTTCCCTAATCGCTGACCCATCAGGATAAACCTAACGCTGCCTCCTGAAGTGTAATATTTAACCTGTCGCTTTCGGTGGCGTGACACTCTAAAAAGAAGCAGCAGTGCAACATGTGTGGTGAAAAGTATCCCATGGGCACCATTTGTTTCTAACAATAACTGCTGAGGAGTGACGAGGACAGCTGGCCTCAGAGGGCCTCACACACACATGCACAAGAACAGCACTGATTTTTTTTTAATGTCATGTGGTTGTGTTAGAAGCCTACCTTGGCACACTGTGGATGTGGTCCACACCTTTAGGTCCCTACATCCATTAAATCCAACGACACCCTCTTCAAGGAAGAGTATATATAAAATTCCTCAGTCACCTGATTAACTGAATTAAGCGAAGTGCTAATCAGCTGATTAAAGCTTAATAACTTTTTATAGCTTAATGAATTATGGACAAACTCTGATTTAGCTTTCATACCACATTAGTAAAAAGTGACTGGAGAGCTGCTAACGTTCCCATCCCGGGACTTTAGGTTTTTTCTGAAATAATAAGACAAGCTGCAAAAGGCATAGTGTCTCTTGCTTTCATTAAAAACTGTGCGCAGTTATTTATTGTATTCTAAATTTACATCTTTAAAAAAAAAAATCTGCCCATGTCTTAGAACCGTTATGAAAGTTAACCAACAAAATTTAATATACATCTCATTGCATTTTTACATAGAGGATGAAAGTAAAGGCATGAAGGTGGCATGATCCACACCAAGGCTCCAAAGAGTCAGGAAACAAACATGAATAAATAGAAGGTGCTAGTTTAGAGAGAAAGGGTGTTAAGGTAAAACAAAAACCAAACAAAGAAAACCTCCTGCGTGAAAAGTCTCCAGGTCCTGATATTGAGCATCAAAAGCATGTGGAACGGTGTGAAGCCTGTACAGGAATGACGGAGGAAGTCGGGACTTTGCACTCATCGATAAATTCAGAAGTATACTGTGACTTTAGTTTATAGCTGAACAATACCAGCTAGAAAAAACAAAAACAAAATCAGAGGAGCTTCTTTCTTCCGTCTCTAGTTTCCCTCTGATGCACTAAAAAAGGCGAGAGCGGGGTTGAGAAACGCACTGCAGCAGAGTCGAATTGTTTCTCCTTTTTAAATACTTCAAAGAAAACCTGACGAAATACACTTTCAGATTTCACCGTCTTTGTCAAACTTCTACACTTTCAATACTTAACCACGTCTGAAATAACCAGGGATGCACCGACGTATCTGCACTACAGTCTATCTCTAAATAAGACGGCAGTGACCTTTGTTCGCCTGTCATGTGACATTATGCATTTCAAACTGGAGAGTTCCTCATTTTATGTAGCACGAAAGCAAAAACAAACTAAACAAAACAATCAGTGCATCCCTAGAAATGATCATTTAACAATTGTGAGCTTTGGGATTTTGAAAAGGTTTTAATGACAGGGTCATTAAGTCATGCACGCTGCAAATAACTGCATGCGGTAGTTAATGGTAACCCATCCAAGCACTTTATTTATTAATAGTCATAAACACACACAGCAGCTTCATCAGAGGAGCCTGTGCCCTCTTCACTTTTTGAATGTGGAGTATTTATACGGAGAGCCGTTTTCATGTCACAGGAAGCAAAGGTCTGCCACAGCTGCCTGTAACATTTACCTGATAAAAGAAAAGTAATGTGGATTGATTATCGACTTCATATATATTTTATATAGATTTATATAGTTCTCTTCTCTCGCTCACACATTTATCCCACTTGCTCTCATTTATTTTTGTTTACAATATAACAAATGTGGTGACAGGCCTGAAATTACAATCACCAAAAACAAACTCTGAAAATCGGAGGGGAGGGAGAGGGGGTGAGGCTGGGGGTGGGGTAGGCTGGGGTATGGGGGGACTGCTGCTGCTGCTGTTTGCTGCCCATCACTGACAGTTGCAGCACGGAGGACACAGTCTGCTTGATGCTCGGACATCAAAGAGGCGGCGGCGGAGGCTCCTTCCCCGTAGAGCTGCTCTCTTTAAGCTGGAGGTTCTCCAACGCCACATCTAAAGGCATGATATCCACGCAGCCCATCGCTCCGAAGTCGCCGAAGTCTCGGCGGTCGTCCTCATCTGAAGAGGAGCTCTCTTCGTGCATCAGCGTGGACAAAAGCAGCTCCTGGACAAACAGGCTGCGGTCAGCTCGCTCGCCTTCTAGGAACTGCCGCTCTGCTTCTGACATCTTGGGTTCATTCAACCTACAGAACGGTTATATTCATTAACACTCACACAGGTAAGAAACATATTACAGTACAAAGAAGTACTTTAACTAAAAGCAGTAAGAAGGACTCTGCTGAGGTTACAGTCTGCACGTTTAAGCTCGGTAACAATTTTTGTTTCTTAATGCCTAAAAAGTTCATGAAATGGAAAAATGATCAACAATCTACTGAAGTATTATTTCCGATACGGTCTTCTGCACCAAGTCACAGAACTATTTTCTACTAGAATTTATTTTGCTTCGTTTATCACAAGACAGAAAAACACAGGGGGATTGGTTACTTCTCTAATCCCGTGACTCTTCTCCATAGTTTTCTGACAAATATATCAAACTGGGCAATAAAGCTGAATACAAAGCTGTACATTCATAAATGCATATAGAGCCAACTCAATGGGCAATGAGCAAAATCCACATGTAAATTTAGTCTATAAGTGTTTAAACATAAATAACATGTGAGGCGTGAGGACTTTTGGACTGACTGTCGACGTTTCCTCAGAGTATCAAATCTGAGAAACACACTGTGACATGAAAGCAGCTCGTCTAGACAGAGACTGTTCCTTTCCATCCAGCCCCTGATGGTGCTGATGGTGCTGCACTCAATTTGTGTCAAGAGCTTTGCTGACCTGCTTTTCTGGAAATAGGCCAAAAAAAAGTATCCAGCTGTAACCTTTTATAGTTACATCGTAAATAATTCAGTTACATATTTTTCCTCAGTCACTGCACCTTACTAAACTATAAAATGCATGGTTTAAATATAGATAGTTACTTCCCAACATCAGTTATCACCAAACTTAGTATTTACTATCAAAACACTTTATTATAGCAGTTGTGTGTTGTTGCTGGATATCTGTGTTCTGACAGTCTGTTAGCAGAAACACATAGATTTATAGGCAAACTCTAAAGTCCACCTCCTGCTCCACTCACCGTGCTAATAGGAACTGGGAGCTGTGGGACGAGGACGCCGGATTGCTTTCACCCACGGTGGTGGTGTTGGCAGTTGCTGTGCTGGGCTGGGGGACGGCGGCGCCGGTGTTGCCCGGGTTGTTGCCGCGTCGCGTCGCGTGTCGGCTCGTCTCAACTTGCTGTCGTGCCGCCTGAGCTTGCTGCCGCTCCAACTGCAGCTGCATCTGGAGCTGCTGGAGCTGAGAGGCTGAAGGTCCCGACGAGTTTATTTGCCCTCCTGCAGCACGCCGCACACCTGACAGCTGAGACAACAACTCTGCAGGAGACGTGCGCACACAAATACAAAAAAAAGAAGAAAAAAAAAATGACTGTTTCTAAATTAAACAGACTTCTAAAAAAAACAGCGTAAAAACACGAAGAAAGATTCGGACACGTGCATTTTTTTGCAAGCAACACAGTATGATGATTAAAAACAAAATATGGTACTTCAAAATGTGACTGCCTAAACTGTTTCTTGACAACCATCTACAAATGAGGCACACCCTTTACTTTTGCTTCTTCTCGCTAATGTCTGACTTTAATTTTTTATTTTTTTTAATAAATACTGTAATCTTGATGCTATAATGATCGTAGCACATATTTCTGCATGTACTCTTCTCCTCTTTAACATCTGGGCCAACCTGACTGAAACTTTGCATTATCTTCACCGTGTGTGTGATGTTACATTCTCTGTTTGCGCATCTTTCACACGTCACATTCAATGACTGGTCACTTTTACACAACGATTGCTGCATTTTTGGGGAACATTTCTGCATTTTGCAAACATTGTGGGTAAACTCCTGATGCTCACCTGCGATGGGGTCCATTGCCTCTCTGTTACTGGGGGTGTAAGTGGAGCTCTGTGATGAGGAGGATGAAAGTCCCCCTGTGGAGCCGCTAGTAAAGTGCATATTTGTCCGTCGTGCTCTGGGGCCGCCCAGTCCTCGCCCGGGGTGGAACATCCTGCGTACATGCCGCACACTGCTGGACTCATCGTAAAGGAGGACTGTTAAGGTTAAATTCGGTCACAATGTGCACACACACAGAAGAATCTTGCTATTTAAAACAATTCATGTAGAAAAAAAGGCTTATTTTGACACTATTGTGTGGTTAAATGAAAAGGATATTAAATCTCTTGGTGCTCTGTGTTCGAGAGTGAGGTGAGCTGTGAAGTCATCTGTGACATGGTTGGGATCCCCTCCGGGCAAGGCAGCGCATATTGGACAGATCTGAAAAAGAAAGATCGAGCTCATCATACAAACTGGCATGTCTGCATGCAGCAAGTCTTCTACCTCACAAAAGGTTTAGGGTACTTATATACACACACACACACACACACACACACACACACACATATATGTGTGTGTGTAAAAGCTTTAACTGTTAGGCTAAAGAATATACTTTATTAAACTGCTATTGCCATTAACCTTTTTTGACCAGTCAGGGCCAATGAGTAGAAAATTGTGGTCAATCACTTGGTATGAATCTAAAAAAATAAAAACCTTATTGCTACAGAAAATGAATCTGTACAGGATAAATTAAACAATCAAAAAGTGGAAAATGCTGACTTCATTTTAATTTCCATTTCATCTGGCAGTAAGAGTCATGAGGAACACAAATACTAAGTTAAATAATAAGTTAGCTCTGGTCACACGCTTCAATGGCATCTTTTCACCCCCGCTCTCAAGTAGCTGTTGGTCAGACAACCTACTAGGCAGCCAGGTGTCAGCAGTATGAGCAGCCTGAGCCTTTGTCTTGCTTTGCTCAGCAGTGGAGAATGCTCATAAAATGCCACTGAATAGCTGAAGTATAGTAACTGAGAATTACAATGATGACTAAATTCAGAGCATGCCAGTGGATAGCAGAGGTAAACTAGGATGCTTAGAGAAATGAGGACATTTCTAAGCTTATAATAGTACACAAAAGTCTACTGAGCAGTTCCGTTTGTGCAGTGAGTGTACTCACCACCTCCGTGGAAGTCTCTGAATGCTCTGAGGTGACATGCTCCTGTAAGGATGTCTCTGTGAAGCCCATCTTGCCACAGTAAGGACATGTGAACGACTGCGGCTGCTCTACTGAAAAAGTGTCTCCTCCATAGTACAAATCTGCAAGAAGATGATCAAACACAACAGCTCTTATTGATGTTCATCACTATTTTGATTATTACTTTCAATAATCAACAATATTTATCGCTGAAAATGTGCTGAATGGCTTGTAATCACACTTTGGAGTCCTTAGCAGTATCACCATCCTGTACAACAGGCATGGCGATCATGCATATAATCAGAAACCCACAGAGTTAGGTCTTTACCATAGTCTACCCTGGTTAATATACACTGCATGGGGTGCTCTGTGGTGTGCCTTGTTGTCGTGGCTCCGCTCTCGTAGCACGACGCGCACAGGTCGTAGTCGTAGCAAATTAAACACTTGAACCGTCTTCCTCTAAAGTTGCCCTTTAAACACGCATCGCAGCTCACACCTGCAAAACAGAAACGGAGAATAGGAAATAAAACACGTGGACCTGACAATACTTTCACAAATTCCTTATAAAGGCGTCTCAGAGGCTGACTGTGAGAAGGCGATCCCATATCTGCAGGCCAGTCTCACTTACACAAGCATGCGTTTTGGAGTGGCACCAACCAACAAGTGCCAGCAATGAAGAACGCTGACATTCCAGCAGACTTCACAACCAACTCAGATTTATCTGAAAGCAGCTTTCATTGCTCACTTTTAACACAGTTCACTCTTTTTCAGGCAGCAGGCTGCTCCTTGTTTTTATCCCCCCCCCAAAGATCGACAACACCTAAATTGGGGGGGGGGACTGGGCATAGGCAGAAAGGGGGAATAAAAAGCTGTTTTCAATGAGACATCATGCTGACATTTCCTGACATTACAGAGTGCCTTATTTGGCAAGTGTTAGTAAATATGTAAACAAGTATTAAGGGAGTTTTCTCTGACTCATCTCACATCTAACAACAGAGACCTGAAGGAACAATATGCACAAAAGATATCTGTTATTAAACAGATGCTGACATAAAGAAACCAATCAAACTGCAACAGGCCGCTTTGGGAGTTACTTTGAGGCTTGGTTAGACAGAAGCAAGCTCAACAGGATAAGTAACTGAGTATCTTGCTTAAAATGAATTTTAACCATCTGCACAATCCTAGTCTCAGCTGAAAAACTAACTGGTCCAGCAGAGGACCACGAAGCAGATTATTAGATACCTCTGTTGTACCTTGAACATATAACCTCAGATAATTCACCCTCGGTCCAAGAATGGTCAACAAAGCTACTGCGATCATGTGTGCTTTATAGTGCTTCTTTTAAAACTTCTGAGGCAATTTGACGGGACAACACCTGGCAGGTCTTGAAATGTTTGAATGAAATTAGCCAAAGCTGAAGTTTTCGGTTACACTGATCGTAACTTAAACCCTGCTTACGAGCAGGCTGCTAGTTAGCCAACTTAGTTACTGGTTATACAGTCAGAGGCCTTAGACTTTCAGTCTTCTTGATGACAGTGCATTCGCTAACAGCAGTGTGTGACCAGACGGGACAGTATGGCGCTAATTGAATAGCTCCAAGCTCTCAATGAATAAATACTCTGAATATGAGCAAAATGTTGTGACAGCAATATCGGGATGTAAGACGCTGAATAACTTATCAGTGCCGGTATAAGTAACAAAAAAGTCACAGGTAAACCAACGACTCCTTGAATTAGCATACATTAGCTTGCTCGCTAGCCCGGCTAATGTAAGGTAACGCAGTACCTAGCAACGGCTAACTGCTGCTCTGCTGCCGTATTTTTGCGAACAGGTCGAGTGAAGTAAAAACGCTCCAGCCTCGATTTAGAAAACACGAGACAGGTGTGTACAGCAGAACTGCTGACAGTAAACACACACGACAAGGGACAAGCCTAGTAACACACGGCGAAAAGCGCAACAACCCTCTCAGACATGAGCAAGCAGTTAGCAAAGCTAGCCCCAGAAGCTAGCTGCTCAGGTAATGTAGCCTTCAACCGGGGCGCCGTGGACCTGTTTATCAACTCACCCTCATGTCGGGACATCCTACAAAGCGACACAGCCCCCTCCTCGGGCTCCCCAACACGTCTAATGGGGAACGATGCAGTTTTTGAGTCAATAAACTGAAAAATCCTTCAGCCTGGTCTGTTTTTTCAGGCAAGATGGATCCCCCAGCAGCTTACAGTTTGTACTGCTTCCCCTCCCAGTGTCACTTATGGGTGAGTGCTGTGAATGAACACTAGGCGGCGCTGTCTGCTATAAAATCACTCGACCCGGACTGTGCTGCTGTGATGCACCAATTCTTTAACCACATTTTGCCTGAAACATAGCATAAGTTATATGTGTAAACAAAAGAGTTTCTCTCAGCATAAAAAACAAATACATTTTAAGGGCCTGTGTCCCAGATAAATCCTTTTGTTTGTGACACATGACTGAGGTTATTAGCACATTAGATTGCTTGCATTGCATTTTATTTGACCATTACTTTTAGATGAACTGCTTCAGTGCATACTCCTTATTTTGTCATTATAAAAGAAAACAACAATATATAGCTACACTACAGGACAAAAGTTTTCAGAACATCCCAATTTATTTCCCAGTTATTTATTGCAATTCAAGCTGTTAAAGTCCAATGAATAGCTTAAATGGTATAAAGGTAAGTGGTGAACAAAACGCTAAGGTTACCCAAAAGTGAAAAATAATGTACATTTCAGAATCATAAAAAAGGCCCTTTTCAGGGAACACAAAATGGGTTAACAATTTAAAGCTGCTCTGCAGCAATGGAGGTTCAAAAACTGATGCTACTAATTCCTACAGATGTTCCAACTTTTCTGGATTACTTACAACCCCCTTTGACTGCATAAAATCAGTGTTGAAACACACTGTGGTACCATACCCTCGTGAGCATCAGTTGAACAGTATTGTACTGCAGAAAGTAGTGTGTTGCTACAAAAATGGCTAGAAAAAGGCAATTAACAATGGAAGAGAGACCGACTATCATAACACTTCAAAATGTAGGTCTTTCCTACAGAGAACTTGCAAAAAAGTGTCAGTGAGCACAGTTTCCTTTACCATCAAAAGGCACTCAGAAACTAGGTCAAACTGTCACGGGAAGAGGTCTGGCAGACCCAAAGCCACAACTGAATCAGAGGATGAGTTTCTGAGAGTTAACAGCTTGTGTGATACTGCCTATCATCACAGGACAACAGCTTCAAGCACAGCTTAATAGTGGTGATAGTAAGCAAGCCTGCGTTTCACCTGTGAAGACAAGACTTCAAGCTGCAGGTTTGACAGGACGAGTTGCAGCACGAAAGCCACTGCTAACACGTCAGAATAACACAAAGAGGGTTGGGCCATGAAACACCGCCGTTGGACTACTGAAGACTGGAAGAAGGTATCATGTTCATCACGTTCATCCAGTCACATGGTACGAACTGAAATTAACCCACAGGTTATGTATTTATGCATGAAGACATGCTTGAGACCACCTGAAGTTTGAGGTTGGCATGGTTGATGGTGTTGGTCTAAGTATTTTAGAAACTGATGATGTGAAAGTTTACTGGGATTTTTCTGTGAACACCTCTAAGGTTTACACAGAATCATCATACAAAGAGAAGATAACCATTGAGTGGCAGTTCTCTGGATGATGAATGTATAACCAGACTGCTTTGAGATGATGGATCCATCTGGCCTTGTGTCAAAGGTTCTGGTTGCTGGTGGTAAAATGGTGTGGAGGATAATTTCTTGGCACACTTTGGGACCTTCAGTACCAACGAATCATCATTTATACACCACAGCTACCTGAGTATTGTTGCTACCCATCTTCTGATGGCTGCTTCCAACAGGATAACACCATCTGGCAAATCTCAAATCATTCTTGAACATGATAGCGAGTTCACAGTGCTCAAATCGCATCCATAATCTCCAGATCTCAATCAGTAGAGCACCTTTGGGATGTGGTTAATGACAGATTGGGAGCAGTGTATTAAACAGATCACAGTTCTGATGCGTGCTTTGTCTGAAAAAAATGCAAGAGAAATGGTGATGTTCTTTATAAAAATTATTTATTTTTTTGTACATCAGATTCAGTTCATATATCTGTGCTAATGAGGACACATACACTCTGACAAACCAGTGCATTACAGTGAAGATTTCACAGCAGTGTAGAAGGCTGGGCTGGAGCTCACTTTGCTTGCTACAGTTCCTCGGAGTTGTGATCTGTAAGTAAGCTCTGACTGAACAAAGAGAGGTGAACTCCACCCTTGTGCGTGAACCCAACGTGGCCACACAATCCAAAAATTGACTAACAGCTACACATTCTCTATATACAATTTATTACATGTGCTTTAATGTCACCAGTGGAGTGAGAGCTGAGGAGTATTAAGAAATAGAAGAGCTGCCTCTTATTGTTGCTTATTTCCCTCAGCATTAAGACATAGTTATGAGGGGAAAACGCTACAAAAAGAGGCTAGAATATGTTTCTCCTCAATTCAGATTATAATCTCTTCTAAAATATCGGGCAGCTGTGCAAACTTTGGAAACAAAAAGGTACAAATAAGGTACTTTAAAGCAAGAGAAAGCCTAGAGTGTGCTATGCTTTGTGCACACTACAGCCACCAGAGAATCCCTTTACAACATAGAGGAAACTAGTGAACAGTTGGACATATATTTCTAAACTGGATGATTATTAAGTTCCTATTTTGCAAGTTAAAAGGAAATCAAAGTATCTGCTGTGATATCTCAGCCTCGGCATTCAGAACACAGGCATTCAACAGGTTCAAAATATCATTTTCAATCAAATGAAACCAAAATAGTGGATACAAACCCTCCTCTTTATATATATATATATTTCACTACGGAGTAATTATACTTTCAATACTTTTAATCAAAAAATACCATTATTTACATATCTGCATACATCTTAGCACTGAAAATGTGACAAAAGCCATATCATTTTCTCGAGTGTAAATTGTGTATATTTATGTCATTATTCATGATATTTGTAGCACCTGAGCAAAATCATTTCTCTGACCACCGATCTGAAAACCCCCCAAAAAACAAACAAACATTAAATTAAATCCAAACACGATCCTGTACATGTTAAGCTTTACATTTGTGACCAGATATATTTACAGTACAATCAAAGATTTGGATTTTGAGGACGCGGCAGTCTGTATCTCCATGGTAACCGAGGTGATGACAGATTAATTACAGACTGCAACTTTTCTTAAGTAAAAAAATAACAATTGCATTCAGGTTTTGGTTTTTAACAAACATTTTGACATTAAAAATGTGCCATTTTATACTGTTTAAATTCAGCAAGAACAACAACTACTTAATACCTAATACAGTGTTTCATAAACCTAATCAAGCAAAAGAGTTTCACACAAAGGTGTAAGCTATCAGACAGACTGGACCAACACATGGAAATTTCACATATTGTCTTAGAAGCGTGCATAAAAGTAGCAACTTTGGATCCTCATTGTGAAAAAACCTGAGTACTTTTTTTGCCTCTAAAGCTGGAGTGCAGCTGCAGGAGCTCTGAAGCCTTTGGATTTCTGCTGTATGTCACAGAGTTAGTTGGTTAGATGGTGCTTTTTTGGCCAACTTGGTGCCTTGCAAGTGATGGTCTCCTCCGTCCCGCCTCTGGCTCCTCTTCTTGAACTGCTTGATGGGACTTGATGCGTACTGTTACTGTTTGTTGGTCATGTTGAACAAATAGCATGTGCAAATACTTCTGTATAGTCAGTGTGTTCGTCTCCGCGTGTGAGCCAGTTTCATTTTGGCTCCAGTGTTATAATCTAGCGCTTGGAAAATCAAAGAGTTGAGAAGTATTTGCAAGCTTTACCTGATAAATGCCAGTGCAGGAATCAGCGAAGATAATGCTGTTTGTGTTGTTTTGTTTTCCAGGCAGTCAATCTGTCACAGCACTAATATCAGTGGGTCTTATGGCGTTTCCTATGTCTGTCTGTTAGTTTGTAGGTCCTGATGGTGGGTGGCTGTTTGGATACGTCACTCTGCCTCTTCCTCCTTTGGATAGTCCCTGGATTTTCTCTTAAAAAAGCCAAACTGGAAGAGCAGAAAAGTGAGTCACAAAACCACTTAAAACAGAAAAGGATACTTTGACATTTTTGGACATATGCTTATTAGCTTTCTTGCTGAGAGTTTCTGTCATCATCTGTCTTAAAATCAGGATTAAAGCATAAACTTTACATAAACCATCTTGTGATTACCACGATTTTCCCTGCTAGCGCTATGGCCGTACATGTTTTGGCTTTTTGGAGCCAGAAGTGATGATCTTGAGACAAAAGTTTTATCAGCCAACAATATAAAGCCCAAACACACATAGCCATTTGAAACACTTAAGTTTTTTAGGCATCCATCCATTCTCTTTCACCTATTCAATTCAGGGTCCAGGGGGGTTGACAGGAGCCTATCCCAGGGTGAGAGTCGGGGTGCATCCGATGGTACAGGGCTAACAGAGACAACCATTCACACACCTATAGGCAATTTATAATCCTCAATTAACCTAATCCTGCTAATTGCATGTTTTCGGACTTTGCAGGTACTCTGGAGAGAAGCCACCACTGTGACGTAGCAAGCTAACCACTATTCCACCACAATTCTTTTGAGTGTGCTCTGCAGTGACAAGATGTCACATGGTCACAATGATTTGAAATAGTTTGCAGAATATTACCTTCCACAGAATGAAGATAACAAGTGCTAAGATGAGCAGTCCTATCAGGATACTGACGATAATGATCCAGAACGGGATTCCTCTGACAGTATCTTTGGAAACCTGGATACTGACCTGTTTAGAGGAAATATACAGTACATACTCTAAATATGCACATATATGTAAACATACATAAGCATTTAATGATAATGAGATGTCACATGCTTACTATACCAGAACCTTCTGACTTACACTTCTGGTCATGTCGTTGCTGTTCACTTCAAACACGTCCTCCTGCTTCCTGATGTCCAAAGTCCCGTTCACCACCAAGTATAGACCGGAAAACTCACTCTGTAAAGATAGATATTTAAGTATTTTATTTCCTTTCTGTCCATCAATCAGACAGCTGTCAGCCTGCTTTTTTTCCAATACTATATTGTATTTAATATTTATCGCAACCCATGAGAAAGAGCTGGTCAGAGAGAGCCAGACAAGCCAAAAGCACCCAGCGACGTCGCATCTCAAAACGTACCTCGATAAACGTAGGTTTCCACAATCTGAACGCCACGTTGAGCTGAGCGATCTTTTGGCCTTCAGAAATCGAGCAGTTAAACGATTCAAACTTTGTGTGGCTGTCTTGCTGCAGAGAAAATTAAACACGTAAGACGGGTGCAGGAAGAGTTCAGCGATCTGTAGAACACGAATGTCATCACTCACCAGCAGGTAGTTACTGAGCGTCTCTTTTTCCACTTTCACCACTTTAACCTCTGAGTTAATTTTAAAAACATCAATCTGTCCTTTTGTGTCACACATCATCTGCAGAGTAGGGAGAAAACGACACGGACGTTGGTCTGTTTCTTCGCATACGCTTGCATATCCATGGAAGCACACTTACATTTGAGTAGGTGACGTGCGTCAGGTACAGTAACGTGTTCTTCCTCGGAGACTCAAAAGGATATTTCACTTCAAGGCCAAGGGTTGGAGTCACCCCGTCACGTAACTTTTCCACCTGAGGACACGTGAGACACAGAAAAGGAGTGGAATTCATATTACCGACACCCTGCGCCACATGTGAGCTAGAAGTTCTGTGCTTGTATTAATAAATCATCCAAAATGATCACTGCGTGCAGATGTTACCGTGTAGGTGATGTTGACCTCTTCTCCAATCATACTGATGTCACTGAATTCCGAGGGGTACTTATCCTCTTGTGTTATTTCAATGTGGTTGTTCAAAGGCGACCTGAAAGGGACATCCTTTTTACATCCTTCACTTCTCAATCAGAGCTTCAGACGCAAAATGATGTGTCTAATAAAGTTATAGGAAATAGAACCAAAAGTCTAAAAAAAGTACACTCTTGAGGTCTTCCTAATTCCTTACAGTCCAACTTCATTAATGCTGAAAAAGCCATCAGTCTATGTGCATTAACTTTACCTGCATTAACATATTTAGGCCACTTGCTGGCAGCACAAGATGCAAACAAAGGCAAATATCACCTTCCAAACATTTTGAAAGGATGTCAATACAACATTCATTCTTCTTTTAACCCCATTTTACAGCCTGAAAAGGGTCAAGGGTCAAACTATGTGTGAGAAACCCTAAATAACCTTAAAGTAAAAGCAATTAATGAATTCCACTGACTTTATTAATCAATAAATGTTTTGTTTTTTTGTTTATTCTTCTTATTACTTAGTAAATAAAAGCTGCTATATTAGACCACGATTCTGCCACACCTGTCCTACATTACCAGCAGTGGTAATTACCAAAATCATGTTTCTATAGTGGTTAATCCAGCAGTATCGATCAGCTTTTAAATCTAAATGACATTTTTAATACTAAAATATAATAATTGTTGTCGTTCATGAATTGAAAATGAGTTTGAGTGGTTGAATGTTATGTGTTTATACATTTCCATATACAATCACATCATTCACAATCCCCAGACTACAAATCCAGATGACGGTGCCGTTATCGTTACATGCATGTTGGCGTGCATCGTAAGCTCCTGGCTTGGTTAACAAGGAGGGAAACACAGCACAATGACTGACTCGGTTGTGGTACTAACACCTTTTTATTCCAATATAAAAGGAAATGCTAATTTTTTTTTCTTATTATTATTATCATCATCAATAATAGTGGAAACTTTTACTTGTCTGGCTAAAAAAAAAGAAAAGAAAAGTGAATAATGTATCTTTAATGCAAAGGTGTCGATTCACAGCTACTCACTTTACATCTACTTTGAACGTGAGTCCAAGTTCATACTTGACAGGGATGGAGATAGTCGCTCTGTTGTCGTGCATGGTAGAGAAATCTTCTTCATTGTCACTACAAAAATACAATTTACATGCATACGTAAAATTAACAGAACATCCATCTTTGGACAATTAATCACAGAAATAAGCAGAAACAAATCTTTTTCATCTTTTTTTCCAGAATTATTATTATTATCCTGATGATGTGCAGAAAGATGGAGGGATCCTCTCACCTTGTAGCTGTCACGGTGAACTCAATTTCCTTCTGAAAATATTTGAGATTCACCTCAAATTTCACTGTTATTGTTTCCTGTGGATTTGACATCAAACCATAGGTTTAGTGAGCAGAGGTAAAGAAAATATATTGTACAGATAAGATGTTTTACGGATCCTGCACAAGGCAGATGAAACTAACCTCTTCATTGTTTCCCAAGAAGGGGTACCCCACCTCAATGCTCACTTCGGTGTCATTTACAGTGGTCGTCTTTGTATCTGGCTGAAGAGTTGTAGTCACAGAATTACACGCATTGCTTCAGTCCGTAAAGTCAAGTAGCGCAGAGAGAGGAGGGAAAGGGTTCTTACCTCTACGTTCACAAAGTTGATGTTTTGTGTAAAGTTGATTTTCACGTTGGTGTTATAAGCTTTGTCTTTGAGGTTTTTAACGGTGATATTCAAATAAATGATTTCCTTTTCTTTGATCAATTTACTGGAGAAGTACATAAAAAAATAAAAAGTCAGAACGGTTGGATGCGATGCGCACACATCAACACAAGGGTGCAGTCATACTCTGGATACTCTGGACTCGGCTGAATGACTCCAAAACTACGACTTACAACACATCAAGTAACAACTCTGATATGAGAAAGAAATAGTACAGAATAACATTCAAGAAAAATATATATGTGTATAAATATAAACAAACCCATTTCTGAAAAAGCTGCAATTCATTTAAATTCCTGTATTTAACTGAAACCTGTGCAAACACGGAAACAAATGCTCAAACTAAGATCTGTCATGCTCGTTTTTGGTTTTATAACAACGATATAAGAATAATAATAATTCCACTAACCTTTGCTCATCACATTTAGCCTTCAGGGAGAGGTCAGGAACGCACGTCTGAGTTTTGTTTCCACAGTCCATTAAAGTAATCTACAAGACATTTTTAAGAAAATAACAAATTAAATATTTCCAAAAGCTGCATTTTTACTTGGCCTTGCAGAATGATGCTTGTACGAGTTCAAGATCTGTACATACAAGATGACTGCGTGACTTCACAACTACTTTGCAAGCCAATCGTGGTAAAGACTCAAACTCTCATAGCCTCATATTGAAGTATGAATATACTCAGTCCAGTAGAGAACTTGTGAAATTAGCAATAAGAATGAAAATAAGCTGCATGTTTGTTTGCACCCCTGAGAAGACGTGTTCCTTTAGATGACCTTCATTTCCTTTGCCTTTCCCCCCTGAGAGTGTTTCAGGCTCACAGTCGCATTTGTTCCCATTCCTAATAGTCTCCCACTGGACTGATAAGATCAACAGTATCTTCTCTCCCAAAAAGGATGGGATTGGAATATCATTTGCAGTGCAATGTCAAAAGAAAAACACTTCCGTTTGATAACTTCCTCTTCTCTGGGTGTTTGTCCCCTTCTCTTCCTGTCAATAACAATAACAGGAGAGGTCCCCGTGACGCAGCATGAGGGGAGACGGGATCTGCAACATATGTGGTTGTGCGTTTACGTGTGAGCAAAGATAACAATGCGACTAATGCGTACGGGCTTTAAATGCATTTTCTAGTGCATGCTGAAGCTGAATCCTCCTGTGATGTTTCCCAGCTTTGTCGAGAAACATTACGCACTCCAACCAATAATCTGGGAACCCTCTTGTTAGAGGAAATATGCATGTGGGGGTGTGGGAAGATGGTCCTGGCTGCTGGTGCTGAAGCACTAATGGGGGCTGAAACTGAAGGATGGTAGTCAGCTGTTGCAGAAGCTAATGCACTGTATCAGCAGCCAGAAAAGAAAACCCGTGTCCTCGCTACGGGATTATAAAGACAGACCGGGGTCAAATTCTTCCTGTCTGCAACTTTAAATGTTCTGCTTAGTGTAACTAGTCGATTATTTTACTAAAAGAAACCATAAGTGATATAAGTGGTCTTACATTGGCATTGATGGATTTGGGAAGACTTTCATCCAGCACAGGACCTTCTTCATCAGCTTTTCCGAATTCCACAGACACAGTCAGAGGTCCTCGGAAGTCTAGCCGTTCCTGGGATAGCGGACGATGAGGCAAAGCAGGGAGGAAAATAAAAGGCAGAGGGAGAAAAAAAGTTAAGAACAATGGAGGACTTTAAGGTCAAAATTCACTGGCTGCTTTCTGACGCTGAAGCTTTGCTGCATCAACTGCAAACTGATTCTTTCAAAACAAATGTGGTAAAATGGTGAGTTGAACACTGAGCTGTGTAATGATATGAGGAATGCTTTCTTGGCACAGTTCACTCCCTTCAAGTCAATCACAGCTTAGATTGCACAGCATATCTGAGTACTGCACCTGACCTTTGTCACCCCCTTTTAGACACTATTTAAGGTCATCTAGTGGCTACTTCCATAATGCCCCTGTTTTGATTCTCTGGAAGAATTGAAGGCGTTTTCAGAGCAAATGAAGTCTCCAGTGTTGCTGTGCAGTCCTTGATAAATTGTTTGCCGAGTCTATTTGCAACACTTTGCTGGAAAACCAATCAGCATTTCACTTTAAGCCAGGGGTGGGCAACTCCAGGCCTCCAGGGCCAGTGTCCTGCAGGTTTTAGATTTCACCCTGGGTCAACACACCTGAATCACAGGATATGTTGAGGAGGTCATTTAGCCATTTAAATCAGCTGTGTTGGATCAAAGACACATCTAAAACCTGAAGGACACCGGCCTTCGAGGCCTGGAGTCACTCACCCCTGCTTTAAGCTAAAAGAAATGTCAAACGGATGGTAGAGCAAAGGTCAGAGGTATTTGGATTGGTCCTCTGGGGATTATAAGAGTCAGCGTAAACTTTTGCTCCTGTCCATTTAGGAGATGTTGAGGCAGTGTTTTCACTGGTTAAAAGAAAGCATCATCATGGTGGTAGCAAAGTCCTTCATCAAAGCCGCCAAAAAAGCAACACTCGCTAGCGCCACGGACGTCAGGACAGACACAGGTTTGTGACAGTCTCTGCTACTGAGAAGAAAAGCAATTTACCAAAGTAACTGAGATTTATTTGTGTTTGTGCGATTGTGCAAAGCCTTCATATGATGGACACACGCAGATCCAGTTTGAAAGAGGTGCGTCACATTGAGGCGCTGCCTATGATGAAGTCCTTCTTGAGAACGTTCCAAATGCTGATTAAAACTCAAAGGACGCTGATGAAGAGCTTTTAACATGAAAGCGCCGCATTTACAATCAGCAACACTGAACTGCACAGACTGTGCCTGTTGCTTAAACAATTAGAAACCACACTGTTTATATTTTTCAGAATTTCAGTCACTGATATTAACTTTATTTGTATTTTAACTGATGCTTTAGCAGAGACAAATATAGACGCGACGCTTCTTCCGTGCTTGTTAAATTCTCGACCTCTGCCTGAGGACAAGTGGGAAGTCTCTGGTCTGACTTGCACACTTGAACAGAGCAGGTATTCATACTCAACATACATAATAACAACAGCTGTTTCCAACGATTAGCTCCTCTTTCCTTCACTAAAGGGTTAGCCAGTCAGAGAAATCCATGGCTGGCACGAATGCCAGGAAGCAGAAGCTGCCCAAGAAGACGCTTGGTTTTAAAGTAGGTGGTACAGCAAAGGTTTAAAAGCTTTTAGCAGTTACAGGTAAAAGTAGTCAATGGATCACTACCTAATTCACCTTCTAATTCACTCTAATCACTGTTTCATCCTCACTCCTTTCTCTAAGTGTCTCCAGATAATTTATCGGCCAGTGCGGCACAAGGTTTAAACGGAGCATGCTTTGATCAGGACGGGGTCTGTTTCATGTTAGGTCTTCCTGCTCTGCATAGGACAGCTTTACCCTCCCTCCTCTCTGGCTAACAGCCCTAAAACACCATTAACATTTCCAGGAAGCCCTGAATATAACTTTCACTAATGAGCAGCGCAGCAACAAAAGGAATCCACTTGAATGTTGTGTTTAGTAAATGCAGACTGAAAATAAAGTCAGACTTTGTACAGGTAAGAAAACACAACTTGCCGACATCATGAAGGTTTTCTCCATGCATTCTTTCGTTCCGTCCATGATGGTGAACTTCTCTGTAGTCCTGCGGTCATTTTTTAAATCTTTGCTAATGAATGAGGCCCTGGATGTGGCACGCAGACTGTCCAGTGTTATAGTATAGGTCATATCTACAAGACACAAGAAGTTTTTTTTTTTTTTAAATGTGGTTATAAAGAAGAAAAATAAGCGAGAAAAATTGCAGAATCAAGTTGGTTTGTTACATGACTCACTTGCAGTTGTTTTTACAGTCGGCTGGTTGGATTTGACTCTGTAGGTAAAGCACAAGTTGGTCTTCACACAAATAGATTTCCTATTGCCGTGTTCACACTGGTGCTCAATCTGCTGGAGGTTGACTTTAGAGGGGTTGAAAGTCATGCTGGCATGCAGCTCTGCAACATCTCTGGACCTGGTAACACAAATGAAATGCATTAACTACTAGAATACAAAGCACGCAGGTAATTGTGCGTGTGCAGTTCAAGCACTGCACATCCTGCACACAGTACTGCAACGAACCACAAAGTAGTACGTTATAGCAGCACGTTAAATAGATGATGTCACTGATGCAGTCAGAGTAGAATAAATAAGTTTTCACAAAGGAAGGAACTAATGCATCTTGAGAATAAAACTTGGCTTCAGTTCTCGGCATCCAAATGTTAAGCTTTCTAAAACAGAGCCAGCAGTCCTGGAGGAAGAGCCTGCCTGCTGCCAAATCCTTTTTAAACTCTAAGTCACTTGGGAAATGGAGTTTTCACACAGCCTAGTCGAAGCTCTGTCAGTAGAAGCTGTGGGAGAAAGTCTGCCTTGGAGGTTAAATCATGCTGTTGGCTTCAAAACTTTGTGGGCTGAGGATGTATGCTGCTCTCCAACTGTGAAGTATGTTGCGGGGGCTTTTAAAAGAGAAATCACGAGGAGGTTGATGGTCACCAGCCTACAACCCCAGTGGGACATGCACAGCTGTCTAAACCCTGATTAATGCAATGGAAAGTGGACATGTATGCTGTCTCTGGGCTGCAGCGCTGCTGCTGCTGTTAACGATTGAAGTGGAATGTGTGGTTTTTGCAGTGAATGTTTGTATGTGAGGATGGGCCACGACTCACCAGAACAGCGAGGCCCCTCCCAGACCTCCTATAGTGATATCAGTGATTCCATCTCCATTTAGATCCATGACTCCATGTATGGACTGACCAAAGAATTTCACCTTTTCGCCATCGCCACCTGCAGGAATATGCTGAGGACACAGCAACAAACAAAGCGGGGGATACTGAGGCAAAATTGCAGTTAATTTAAATCCATTGTGGTTATAATAGTGATGCTAACTTGGGTAAACAGTATTTGCACAGAGCGGAAGCATCTGTAGCCTTATCTAAAGTATACTGTAATGAAAACAACAACAACAGATCTTTCAGTATTATAAATTCCATCTTCTCACCTGTACAAATTTCTTTTTGAGTGATTTCTGGTCTCCGTGATAGATGTAGACAGCCCCTCTGTGGTCATTTTCAAAAGGCGCACCAATCGCCACATCATTATACCCATCAAGGTTAAGATCTGTCACTGCTGCAATGGCTGTACCAAACCGGGCGCCGCACGGCTCATTTTTATTGGTGCAGCCGGCTGATTGGAGCGTACAGCAGGACTGATTAATAGGCTTTAAAGTATACTCATGCTTAAATTTGTTATTCTGTAACGGAAGAAAAACAAAAAAAGCTATTTTATTTTGTGACTTTTAGCAGACGTCTGACAAAAGTTATCCGACTGAACTAATTTTCTGTACCTTGAGCCTGTAGACGTAGACTCGTCCCTGCTCATCTTTTTCTGGGCCCATGTACATTGGAGCTCCAACCAACAGCAGGTCAGTCAAGGAATCCTTATCCACGTCAACAGTCTGAAGGACGCTGCCAAAGTAGGAACCAATCTGCGCAAAGCCCCAAATCATCTTTCAGTGTTTACTCCACTGAATTCATTCAACTTGCACATTATATGCAGTAAGCAGTGAACCCAGAGAGCCCACATTAAGCCACAGACTAATATAATATAAACTAATATAGCTGAATGCTCACAAAGAATTTGGTGCATCTTGTCCTGAATATATAAGACATAAATATGCACACATTTACAGGCATAGTCATCAATATTTATATTATTGTGCTTTTATGTATTTATTTACTATTTATTGATATATTGTAAGCCATCTAAGGAGCTGGGAAAGAAAAGCGTCTGGACTTCTTTAAGTTGCTTGAAGACGTTTCACCTCTCATCCGAGAAGCTTCTTCAGTTCAGAACTGAAGAAGCTTCTCGGATGAGAGGTTGTTATATTACTGTTTAGTGTGTCTATATTAAATATGTTGCACATCACTTGTTTTGGGGTTTTTTTTTGCATTATTTTATTTGTGTTTGAATCAGGCTGATGACTTGTCATACAGGCACATTTTGTAGCCATATTTTAAAAACTGCTCCTTTATAGCGCACTATGGACTAAACATAGTGTTGCTTGTGTTATTGGGCACTTCCTTTTGCCAGGAATGAATGGCCTGGAGCCACTTACTGACCATCTGCCCAACCAGTCCTTGGAGTTCTCTCATTGGCCAATATCCATGTGGATGTGTTGCTGGATTTTCTAAAAAAAACCCTTTTCAGACTTTTTCCTCTACTGCGAGCTCAGCAGATGTAAATGAAGCTATTGTTTCTATAAATAATGGCTTATGTGAATGATGTGTTTTTACAGTGGCTCTGATATGTAAAACACAACAGCGGACAAGGTGTGTTTTCTATTAATTACTGTGTTTTGCATCTTTCCCTTTCTTTTATTATTTTCCTTAAAGACACATGTGTAATTAGCTTAAGATAGAAACTGCGAGTTACCATCTTTAAGCTTCTCACATCTCCAGTGCAAAAGCGCCCTGAGGAACTGAGGCTAGCCAAGCCTGCCAAAGACTCACCTGTTCTCCTTTCAGTATCTGCGAGATGACGATTCTGTTGTTTTCATCGAGTCGGTAGATAACAACGCGGCCGGTGTGGTTGTACCGCGGTGCACCTGTGATGTACAGCTCTCCCTCAGACGTGGATGCTGACTGCACATCATACCCTGCGGAGAGTGCATTTACAAGCACGTTTTTTCAATCCAAACAGTACGAACCTTCAGGAGTGTCACAAAAGTATCTGCGATTTACGATTTCTCTAGAAAAAAAATGCACCCTCGCTCTGTTTATGGGATATTTTTAATGCCTCCTCTGGCAGCTGTTTACTTCTGCGTGTGAGAAGGAAACTGTAAAACACTGGAAAGGAACACACACCCACTTAGAAAAGCGCACCGCAGCTCTGCGTGCTGTAGCCTGAGCATTCGGAACAAGCATGTGCCAACAGCTGAGTTTATAGTGTGCGAGCTACCAGCGCTCCATCTAATGACATGTTGATTAAATAACTTGATACTAAGATACCACGGCTGCTTTACGAGCCATAAAAGGCATCGGCATGGAGCGACGAGCCTGTGTATTATTATTTATGTGACACAGAGAACAGAATCTGCTTTCGAAGTCAGACAAATGACGTACCTATTTTCCCCCTCACAGCAGAAACTTCCATATTTATTCTGCAACTTAATTTTACATCAGAAACACTTAGATCAGATCTAGGTCGGTGGAGCAAAAAAAGGTGTGTATTCCATGTATTTTAATTCAACGTGCTATTTTTTTTTTAGCTTAAACTTGCTTAAGATTGATATATTTTAAGAAATTATTAACATATATAATCTAAATAAATAAATAAAGCGTACAGTCAAAGAAGAGGAGAAAACAGGAAGACTGTTAATCAGGCACTTATAAACATGAAGCAAAAATATTTTTGTAAACTGAAATACATGAAACCAAAGTTTATTCATCAAATTAATTAATTGCTAAAGTCATTTTTTAAATTTTATTTATTTATCATGACTTCATGTAATTCTTCAGACTCCCCAAATGCAATAAACAGAAGTATACACATACACGGCTAGTCCTGATTCTCCATATTCAGGGAAAACAGAGAATGTAAGCCTTTTTACTTTTAGGCTGCTTTAAATGAGATTATATCCAACAAACACAGCTAGTACTTAAAGTGGCCTGTGGTGCTTTATAGCAAAGTAGGTCTGGATATTTAGATGGTAATAAAAGCATCATAAAAAGCAGCAGCAGTAGCATTAAAACTATTCATAAATTTGGTTCCATAATTGACATAAATACATATGAGAAGCCAAAGGTACATATTATAAATAGCCTCCTGAGTAGATTTACATTTTTTTGCACTGTATTAGTAATGTTGTTAGAATATTTTATTCCTAACAAACTCTGACCCCTTCATTTTTAAGGCTAAATATGTATAATATGTAAATATGTTAAACACGTTTCACCAAAAAACATTTAAACAAAGTCTCTTTTATAGTAAAGGCTGCTATTTTGCATCTAACAGCACTAACGGGTAATGTAAGTACACAAGAGCAAGTGTTGTGCAGAGGAACTCACTTAAAGGTCAGTTATTATATTTCTTTTTAATCCATGAAGACTTTAAATTTATACATCAGTGACATTTAAAGGAACTATAAATTTTATTAAGTTTCCACTCACCGAGGTACGCGGCCAGCCTTTCATTCCTAGCCTCTTTCAGTGGGTCAAAGAAAGCATCTTTCCCTGGAACCACGTCTCCTCCAGGAGTGTACATTACCACTGTCCCGTTCCATTCATAAGCCCCCACTGCTCCCAGTAACACACCTTCCTAAGGGAGACAACAGACAAATATGTGGTGGAAAAAATAACCCAATCCTTTATTTAAGCAAAACAGTGGCTCCATAGTGTAGTGGTTTACACATCTACACTAACAAGCAAAATATCCCTATAGAAATTTTACTTTGAGGTAGACTCTGCATTTCATATACACTACTTAGCCCCTCAAATGTAGTGGTGGTAAGCAGCAGCAGAGTACAAGCATCACAAAGTTGTATTTAAGTTCTGCACTTGTATGAATGCTCTTCATCAGAGACCTTCAGGATCCCAAACATTTAAAGTTGCACCGCTGATGGGTGCTTTTCACAACTTTCTGTTATTATAGTTATTTGGAATCTGTTTGGTAGCAATATTATGCAAAAGTAATAATAAAAAAATGAAAAAATAAAATAAAAAATGATACTATGGCACAAATCCAGATTACTTTATTTTTAAATGTAAGAAAGAGCACTGACTTTGGCATACGACTGTGGCCTTTAAGTGCACATTAAGTGCAACTTAAAAGTACAGCTATTGATCCCATAATAAAATAACAAGCATACACGGTATATTATTTCAAGTGAATATATCTATCGCTCTTTTTTGTCCAGAGGAAGCACAGTTAAGTAATAGGAATGGGAGGGGTTGCAACAGGACATGACATCTTTCATTAGCCACAACAAAGTGCGTCGAGTGGCTCTTTCCCACTAATGACTGCTAAAGTGTGCCGTCACATGTTTAGGATTCAGTACTATGACTCAGCTAGGGAGCCAATTCAGAGTAAGAGAGAGTCAGAGGAGATAAGAGCAGGAGGAGGAACATAAAAAAGGGGCGTTTTTTTTATTATATGCAGGAAATAGATACTGAATTTATCCAATCAGCCTTCTGACTCAACATCCCTTACAGACTTTTCTGCTGTGTACATCTTTCATTTGCTTTCCGACTCACAAACAGTCAGACACGGTATTGCCAGGATATCACAGTGAGCAATTCTCAAGTTTCCCAAAATTAACCCACAGAGCTGAATCACCAAACAGCTGTAGATGGACCAGAGATAACAATGCGGTATTGTGTCGGGATGAGTTCAGCAGTTAACTTCCTTGCTTATGAATCCATGTCCGTGCAAACGGTTCACTTTGAATCCACAGATAGAGCAACTTATCACTGCTGTGATCTCAAAATATGATTCATCCTTCAGCCATTTGGTGCGGTCTGGGTGCAATAAGTGATTTAGCAGGACCCAACTATTCCTCTGTAAACAATATATTTGGTAGCAGTTTGGTGTATTAATCACACGTAAACAGTTCGACTGAAACTTACGTTTGAGGTGTGAGCACTAAACCCAGTTTGGGACATCTCCATCTGAATGGGGGAAGTGGAATTTCCACTTGTAGCTGAAGAAAGGGAAATTTCCGTTTAGCTACATGTACATAAACCACAGATAATCACATGTTGTCAAATCTGTTTTTACTTCGAAACATATAAAGAATATGGGTCTGAAACTTAAATATGGGTATCGTTTGAAATTTAGGGAAATATTTGTCTGTGACAGAACTGAAGTAATATCTTATGTTAGCTTAACATGAAGAGGAAGATAATCAAAACGATGGGCATTAATACCGTTTCCATGTGTGCCATTTAATTATTTCTAAAATGAATGTGACCAGTGAGGGGTGGGTCTGACTGTGAAATGCTAACGACTCATCAATCAGAAGTTGATAGCCAGTAAACATACCTTTTTCAACACACCCTGAAATGATAAACTGAGCCCACAAAGTCATTTATAGATGTCTGTGTCAACACGGGTTTGCTCATAGGGGGTTCATATGATTGTTGGAGTTTCCTCTATTATCGTGGGTATTCACAATATAAAACACTCACTTTTGTTGTGAATTGGCGCTATATAAATAAAGCTGATTGAATTGATCATTTGCCTTAAGTGTCTTAATTATTAAATGTGTTCAGCATGTAGTTTTTATTCATACCTATTGGATCTATTTAGGGGGGCAAGGCTAGCTCCTTCCTGCTTTTGTCGGTCTTTGTCGAACTATTTCAACATCCATCTCTTTGACAAAAGTGAAACTGCTAATGTGGCTTCAAGAGCATGCATATTTTGTGTCTATGCGTTTACCTTCCAAGGCCAAAATCCTGCTTCCCAGTGTATCCACAATGTTCACTAAAGCAGCCTCATCAGACACATTGAAGAAGTGGTCTTGGATAGGTTCACTGGAGATATTCTGGATCTCTTTGATAAACTTTTGCACCTCTGATAGAGATTTGTTCTGGCGACCATAGTCCCCCAAAACCTGTAAACGAGAAAGTACTTAACATTAACGGATAAACTATTCTGACCAAAAACTGAAACATCACAAAATATTTTGTACTCACAGCGATGCCAAATCTCTCAATGTCATCATCCTCACAAGCTTTGATGACCTTTTGTAGATTATAGTAGTCGTGTGATTCTCCATCAGTCACAATCACCATGACTTTCTTAACTCCAGGTCGTGCACCACGCTCTGGCATGAAGGCTTCCTCTCTGAAATGCAATTAACTTCAAAGTTACTCAGACAATCCTGACTTATGCTAGTTTTTTTTTCTGACGACACATCAATTGCAACACTATTTTTTTTAATTTCCTCATAAGATTTGAATTCCATCATGTCTGAAAATTTATCTGCAAGGCCAACTGGAAGGCTTGTGCTATTTTTCTTCTAACAATCTGCCCATGACAATTGTCAAGCAGACTTGAAATGACAGTTTCCTATTCAAATATCCATTAAACCTTGCCAAACCAGAAAGACTCAATTATTAATTGTGGTCAACCGTTGCCGGGTTTGCCCAAATAAGACAGCTAATGTTAGGTACCTGGCAGTATCAATGCCCAGGAAAGTCATCGTCTTGGTGCCAGTGTGCTGAGGAAGGTCTTGGACAAAACCCCGCAAAGCAGGCATGTTGTCAAACTGGCTCAGGTTGACCTGATGACTCACGGTCTCGCCATAAGACACAATGCCCACCTAGAAAACACGCATACATTCACACATTTAAGATGTAAACTTTCTCCTACATTAAATTTCTCTCTATGTTCTTCTCTCCTCAGCTTCTCCCCCCCAAACAGTCTGCAGAGGATGTGGCTGAGGTCTGGTGAGCTTGATATGACACAATGTTCTTTATACAGACTGCAGAGGACTTCAGCAGCCATGGAAGATTTGACTTCCAACCACTAGACTCCACAGTAGGAAGACTTTCCAGTGCTTCCCTGTGGAAAAGTCCACAAGCTGTGAGCCAGATCAATGTAACCATAAGAAAAACCCATTCACAGAGCGATCCAATTCAAGTGGACAGAAATACACTCAGGTTCAAACTTAGTGAGCGAGAGGCTGAATTTACTTTAAAGGCTGTAAAGTGCTCAGTTTATGAACTTTGCTTTATAAAGGGCATCTTACACGTGTGGAAAAATTACATAATGGAGCACAGTAAAGTCATTAAACATAATTACTAACTAATATAATCCTCCATTCATTCCTTTTCTATATCTGATTGATGTTACATAACTATTCCATTTATTCATTCATGTATGGCTGTGCAGCCTGCACTGAACGCACCCATAAACCACTCTGCAAACGTCTATAGCCACTCTTTATTTCTTTATTTTTTGAAATGATGGATGGAGTGGGTAAAGGCTTTTTAAAAGTACTGTATATGCATAGAAAATTGGCTTTTTTTGTTTGTTCTTTAAATAGTGCAACTGACTTGTGTCTGTTTAGGTCCGATCTCAAGTCTCCCAATGAACTTATAGAGAAACTCCTGAATACTCGACCAGGGGTAGATACTGTTAGATCCATCCAGCACGATCACAAGGTCCATCTCCTTCCCGCACTCTGGAACAGAGCCAAAAATGACATTTAATTAAAGGGTACGTTTAGTTTTCAGTTTCTCTCTGTAAGCACTAACAGGGGTGCTGAAAGCTGAGACTGGACTTTTTTCTTTTGCTTCTTTTTACTTTTGGCTAGTCTACACAAGCGTATTTGATTTGGTGATTTTTCTCCTAAGTAAGACATCAGGTTATGTAACACGTTCAGTCTGTTTCCTGTTTACTTGCGCCCACGGTAAACACACAAGCTCCAAATCAAAATGTAATAACGTAGATCAGTGTGTGTGTATGTGTGTGTGTGTGTGTGTGTGTGTGTGTGCGTGCGTGCGTTGGTTTGTGTACGTATAAGTTGGGGTGAGGGGTTTATAGATGGTAGCACAATGGGAGAACAAAATGAATATTTCTGTTACAGAATATGGACTTTTTTGCTTTTTTAAGGCTTCTACTTTTGTTTTACTAGGTTACATTACAAACATTATTATTATACAAGAAGAGAATCTGCTAGCATAATAGGAATAGTGAATACAGGAGAAGAACGTGGAGTGGGATGTTGTAAACGGACTTCATTCATCAAAATGTGAAGTTATATTGATCGTGTTGGACAACCTTGTTATTGTTGCCCATTCGAAATGTCTGCTGCACCTACCATACATGCCTAGTTTTTTTACTGACCATAGCCAAGCATAAGACATTATTATGTCATAAACAAACCTATGCATCCAGACCAAGAGTGGAAATTTGTGTGACAATGTGTCCATAAAATCAAAAGTATGATTTTTCTCTTTAGTAAAATTTGGGTGAAGAATCATTAGGTGACTATTGTGTAATTTTGAATAGGAGGAGTGAACTGTGGAGGGACAAATGGACCCATCGCCATCGCATGTCTTTCAGCTCAGTGAACTAGAAATCAGTTTTACTTCAAAAGGTGACAGACCTGTGTAGTCAATTTACTGCTGTGCATTGGTGGGTGGTAAATGCTGACAACAATTACAATTGCCATTATATATGTAGCAGATAACACAAATAAAAAGGTACAAAAAAGTCATCCTGGTTTTATCATTTACCTGTGGAGGAACTAGAGTTGACGAGTTGTGAAATCTGTTGTAAATATTCATTTTAAACCTTCAAACTGTAGAAACCTAACAACTATGATTATATTAATTATAACAATTACTTGAGGCAAGACGTCTGTGTAGGAACAATGTAAGAACTGTATTTCTAAAGTCTTTTTGTTTCATTCAAAACTTTTTTTTACCTTCATTCATTATTTAGAGGATTAAATGAGTATGAGAAGTATACAATAAGTCTGTGTATATGATTATTTGTGGTAAAGTAACAGTGATTCAGAAAACCTGAGGGAATGAAAGAGAAAATGACTGTACGCTGTTTACTCTAGGGTTCTTTCAAAGCTGTTTCCATCCAGGGAAACGCCATGCAAGCCCAGTAAACTGTCTCCTAACTTGGGCATACAATGCAGCAGATGGGCTGGGCTGGGCTGGACATGAGAGGGATGGGGGGGGGGGTCGTCACAGACAAGTTTACATTAAGAGGAATGCTCTAATCTCTATGTTCGCTGAGGGAGTGTGAGTTTAAAGTCAGGGTCCTGGGTGGTACTAGTATGACGAGGAGATTGCTATCTCTCAACCCAGACAGACAACTTGTACAGACAGCGTCCTGTCTTGAGCAGATTTTCTGTACTGTACCTTGATATTTTGTAAAAGAGTTGAGGATCTGGAAGGAAGAGCTGACATTCGTACAAACTCCTGAGATGAAATGCTGCGGGCCGCACTTGTAGCCATACTGAGGACCACACGCCTGTGGAAACAGGACACACATGCATACAAACAAACAGAGACTCAAAGGCTGTGACTAGTTAGTTTTCCACTATTATGAGGTCATGGATGAGAGGAGAGCTACTGAAGACAGAAACAAAGAGGAAAGAACGACTCAAACTGAGGATGACATCAAGAGACTATTAAAACCCACAAGAGGTTGATTCAGACTGTTTCTCTTAAGAAAAGGAGACAGAACAGAGGAAAACTGCTAAAGGGAGCAGACCTTTACTTAGAGGGAGGGGTTAAAGTGGATAGAAACAGTCTGGAATGGCACCTTTAATTTACAAGTAATTAAATCTGTTAAGTAACTGACTACATATTATTTTTGCTTCCAGATGATACCCCACGCACATCATCCACACATTTCCTTCTCATTCATAGAGAACAACAACATCTCCAAAGAAAGCCTTATTGGCTACATCATTTACAAACTCGTGTCCTGGTGGATTAAATGAAGAACACTCGTTATCTTGTTTTTTAGAATTAATAAATGGGGCTGCATAGACTTATTCGGCCTGTATTTTTCATGTATTGATTATAAGATGTTTAGATTATTGATTTATGTGCTTCTATGTAATGTTTTCGTGGTCAATTAATATCTAGATACAGATTTGAGTTGTGTATTATGTGATATAGTTTGTTAATTTTTTGTCTTTCAGTGTGTTTCTGATAGCGTTAATGGTGTGTGATCTATGTATGTGCTTGGAGCAGGCCGTCACTTCTGTATGTTGATGAATTGCTGATCGTTGCTACCTGTGCTCATTATAGCTGTGACTACATGTGTATTAGAAACTCTGAGAAAAGCCATGTGCTGAAATGCTTCTGGGTTTTTTTTCTTGTTGCTGTGATAATAAAGATTTTATACAAGTAGTTGTGAGTACTGAAGTTCTTATTCAAAGACAATGCTAGTAATCCCAGAAACAAATGCCTGCTTAGCATTAAAGTATCTCATTATTGCTAAAATGCTAACATTTGCTAATTAGCAAAACTGATAGAAAACCTGAGGCTAAAAAAACGCATTAGTTGGAGCAGTATACTTATTAGGATTCATCCTTTGGGGACCATTCAGGTTTGCAGAAAATTCCATAACAATGCATGTAATAGTTCAGGAAAATCAGTGCACCACTGTGATGGCTCAACAGGCAGGCATAATGAGTGACACGGCTATAAATGAGTATTGTAAATGTTCAGTAAATGACTAAACACACATGCAGTCCAGCTGGTGATTAGATTGTGTTGAAATGTGTTACTAAACTCATTATTTGCTCATTATCATGTCATATGTTTCCTCTGGTAGCCTGATTTATACCAAATGTTTTGGGTGTTCCACCTTATAAATACAGACATGGTGTTGACATGTTGTGTAAATCACATTAAGGGTTTAAACTGCAGCTCCACCTCACATTTCTACATTAGATTTTCATACACGAACCATTCAAGAAGTTGCAAAAACATGCATTTACTGGCGCTGTAGTTTTGACACATTGGTGATCCTCAGGTTTAAATAAAGTTTTACTACAGTTCTTAAGCACAACCCTACATGTTTAAACACTTCAACATTACCACAATTGATTCACAGCATCCTGTTACGTTCCCAGGACACAGAGCCTGACTTTTCCATGGAGGCCAAAGGTTTAGTGCGTGTTCTGTAAATTCGCTGCTGAGTAGTCTTGCAGCAAATATGCAAAGATCAGTCCTTCTTCTTCTTGTCTATAGAAAATGTAGAGGACTTCCTGCTTACCAGAAATCCTCCTTTGGGATTCGTTACCAGTGTGCTTCCCATGGTCATGTTTTCCTTCACTTCACGCAAGTTGGGAATGGTTGTGTTTTCTAAAAAAAAAAAAGAAGAAGAATAAACTAGATGAATAACAGAGTGAGACAAACAGAGAGCAGCACAGCTGGGTAAATTTCTCGTTTTCATTTTCCCACAAGAAAAGTGCTGCCTATCCCAAAGAATGACATGAGACTAAATATACTCTGCTATATTACTTTACCATGTGGCCCCTCTGTGTGTAGCTTATGGCTATTAACTAAGAATATGGAGCACAACACAAATATTTTGTTGGTAAACAGCCTGTTTGTTGTGAAGGGGAAAGAATTAGGGGAATCATTAAACCAACCCAACATGTGTCTAAAATTAGCAGCTTGGGAATGTTTTGGATAGGAATTAGTTTTTCCTTCTGCAAATCTGTGAAACATGCCTTTTCAATTTTGAATGTTGCTCCCTGAGAAGTGATTTTGATGTGAAACAATTTCTGATTGCATGTGCAACAGATCTGTTAGCAGTTAGTGCGTTAAATTCTTACCCTATACGTCCTTTCCGGGTGGGTTTTTTCCCTCTATTTCCTTCCCACACTCACTCACTAAAGTATACTAATAAAGGCAGCACAATCGGGCTCCCTGCTGACCTCAGGATGAAAAAAATCCTTGTCTTTCATAAACAAACTTTTTAAAACAACATTAAACTGTGATGTGGGTCTGAATTGATTTGGAAAATGACCCATCCTTATTTCTTAACTCCAATGACACAGTTCAGGACCCTGCAGCTCATGATACCCACGTGGGACTGGAACGAGTGACAGACACCGAAATACAAGCTTTTTCCTCAGTAATGCTTGATAACAATCAGAACAAATTGGACCTATCAGAGCGCTGCTCCTGCTCTGGTGCTCTGCCTGTGATTTTCTAGATTGTGGATCTAAACTGCAGTGAGTTTTCACAACACTGAAAAACAGTAAACTAATTATTACTATGGCAAATCAGCTTCATAATCAGTCTTTGTTTTAAATCCATTTCCCAATTTCCTAGAATACCCAAACATTTCACATTAGTAGTTTTCAGTTACGGCTGATTGATTTAGTCAAAAGCAGGGCTGGTATTTTGTTTACTGAACACAAGTGAACTCACTTATACACCTCAGAATTGGTTCATGCAGTTTATCTACAACATTTTTATCAGTGCAGTGGCTGCCACGACCAATTGAAGTGTGTCTGCTGCTGCAGCCCTGCATGCCCACTTCTGATCAGATTGTTTTCAGTGGAAATCCTGGTGACAGACGTACCAAGATGAGGTGCTCCAACCTGTATTTGTGGCACTCTTGCAGCAGTACTCCACCCTGCGGCTGTTTCAGGGCGACAATGCCCACCCCCACACTGCTAGAGCAGCGCAGGCCTTTCTGGATAAGAAGCACATCCGGACACTTCCTTAGCCAGCATTTAGTCCTGATATGTCTCCTATTGAACAAACCTGGCACATGCTGAGTCAACGTGTTCATCAGAGACAGCCACTGACCACTGCACAGCTGCAGGAAGGGAGAGCAATTCCTCAACAACAGATCCGGACACTTGTATTATCCGTTCTCAGATGGGTGACTGCTTGTAACATTTCAAATGTCTTCTGCGTGCATATATATAAATAGAATATATAGATAGATAGATAGATAGATAGATAGATAGATAGATAGATAGATAGATAGATAGATAGATAGATAGATAGATAGATAGATAGATAGATAGATAGATAGATAGATAGATATCTAATAAGACAAAATCTATTTGAAAACACAAACTTATGTTTTGTTTTGGGATGAGTATATGTGAGAGAAGGCAGACTGACTTTACAATTATACAACTGACGCATCATGTTTGTCATTTGGTTTCAATTTTCTAAACAGAATGCAAAAATACAGCCAAGGTGTTTAGTAACCAACCCCTCCAAAATTGTGGGTACTGTTCTTCCTCATCAGTATTTCATAATGGCCATGGCATAACCGCCTCCCAGTTTTACTGGTCAGACTGAAGAGTCATTAAAAATTACAACACAACAGCCACTAACTTTGCTCATTATGGTTTGGCTTCGCTCATCTGTGCTGGGAAAATGTAAATCCATTATGGAGGCAGATGTGGCAATAAGAGATTGTGAGGAGTCGTCAGTGGGCATAGACTGAAATGATGAAGAGTGACAGATGACTGACAAGCCCTTTACTTATTTAAAACATTTACATGAACACATCCTGCTGAACTGCGCAAGGTTTTTCTACTGTTATAGAAATATCCAAAAATACTTTATATATCCATCAACTGATCCTAAAGAAACAAACAGGTCATGCATTTGCTTATCGTGTCTAGTTTCTTTTAAAAAAGTAAAATAAACCAGCACTGTTGTCATCATTTAAACTTCTCCTAGTTTGTTGCTGACTTGTCTGGCTCCAGATTCCCATTGGATGCTTTCCAGACAAAACTTCGGTCTGTGAGATTCAAGCTTTTTTTTCTAAATCCCCCAAGATAAAGCAACTACAGCACTCTCCACTTCAGAGAAGGGAATTCCAACTGATCAGCACTTAAAACCAATAATTTACCAACAGCAGCCAAGCTGTTACCGTGCTTACTTAGAAATTTTAAGGTGTCCAAGGCAACTGTGCTAAAGCGGTGACGTATCAGTCTCTAAAAGTTGCAGATCTGCTGCACACACAAGCTCTCGGTTATTGCGTACACACACAGGCAGGCACTAATAGAGGCTTTGCAGACTACTGACCGGCAGCTAAGTTGTGTTTATCTGTTTAATTTAGATAAATTGGAAGGCTGAAACATTAAAACCTTGTTTATTTGCTGTCTTCCTGTTCCGATGGTTCCAGCTTCCTCCCCAGAAGACCCAGTCAGATATAAAAGTTAACTTACACACACATCAGACGCACACGCCCTGAAGCACTTGGATTTAGAGTATTTGTGCAGACAGTTAATTGAGAGCTTCTCCCATGCACACCGGCAATTAAAATCCCCCTCATGCACATGTTCATGCACATATATAAACCAATCGGCCACTGAAAGATGAAGCGAATAACATGGATTATCTGTTACAATGACAACAGATATAATATGCAGCAACTGAATGATTGATCCCCGTGTTATTATTGCTTCCTTTTATCGAGTGACAAAGTGTGTCTAGAGAAGAGGTTGTGGTGGGTGGTTGGGTCAAACACACAGCTTTCACACAGGAGACTGTGATTCACTAATTAGATATCCATGTTTACTTATTACTTTAGAGTTAATTGATTGAGTTTTTACTTCTTTGAGGTCAGGCTTAGACACCTTCTCAAATCCAGGAATAACTGTTTAACTTTTTCACAGCATTAATCATATCAGTATAATTAATCATGGTAAAAGGTCCAGAAGCAGTGACGCTCCTGGGGCAACATTAAAATGTAAGGTTGTGGTAACAATGATATCAGATTGCGTGTGTTGGACGCAGGAATAACTGTGAGTGCTTTACTTTCCTGCCAGGATTTCACTATGGTCATGGCATAAGCACATCTTAATTTTATGCTGAAATTAATGACAGAGGAGGTTTGGAACGGTGCAGTTACAGAGTCAGCAAAGCGTTGGCAATTTTGATCTGTTAGGAAAAGGTGTCAGCATTGGTTTTTTTATCCTTTAGCCTTCATTTATCCGATAGTGTTGGAGGAAGGATGCTGTGCATTCCTCTGCGTGAATAGGAAAGTATTAACACAACAGGAGAGAAGGTAAAACATAACAGCCAAAATGTAAGGCCGTCCTTGCAAAACATTGTTTTCTACTTCACCACATGCATGACAAATTAGTCTTGTACACCGTCTGAGTTCAGAAGCATTACGACTACATGATCAGTTGTAAACCTGTGATCAGTATGTCATAGCACTGAGCGTATTACTGATGATAATGGTGGAAGGTAGGCCACAAATATGCTCTCAAATGTGCTATTTGGGAGTCAATCAACAGAACTTCTTACTCCATGATAATAATCAGTAATATGATCACATGATTGTCATAATCTATCAGGAAATAAGTGGCCTTTTGCATGTCTAACAAGGTGATTTTTAATTTTGTGCACGCAAAATGTATCAACAATGAGAATCTTTTGTTATTAACTTCACTAAACAGTTTGAATTTGTTATTTTTCAGTACATTAGGAGCAAGAATTTGGTACAATTATAAGTAGTGCGCATGAAGGTCATCGCTGTGAAAAGGGAAAAGTGCCCATAAAACAACAAATGTGACACTGACCACTGAGTGATCACTGTGTGTAAGTTTGATTAAAATCTGGCCAATACTGCAGGAGGAGCTGCACTTCTTGTGAACTGTAGCTGGACAGAGGGACAGGTGGTTGTCTTGCCATTGCATGAACTCATAGCCCCCTTCAGCCAGATCAGCTAAAACTGTACACATGTGCACACAAATCGTTTTCTTACTGGGCAGCTCCAGTTTGATGCAGTTGTTGTTATCTCTCCCCACGGGACATTTGTAGACGTCTCCGGTTCTTTTACTCGGCTGTCCTGACAGCGGAGATCCAATCAGAACCCTGAAAAAATAAGGACGAGATGGAAATGGTTACATGGAAAGCCATCCAACATCCACACTACTTGCTTTACAATTGTGATAACAACCGCAATTCAGATGTTATTGCAGCGATTAGAAGCAGTGACTCTGAGATCCACTTCTGAGGTCCACAGCTATTTAGACATGGTTTAATTATACTTGTATAGCAATTGAACGTAAACCATGGTTCACACTGCCTAGTAAAGATGTTATAGTTTATTGTGATTGGCTTGCGAGTTTGTGGCTGCAGTTTTATTATATAATCACTCTGACACAATAACAAAGAAATAGCTGGAAATAAAAAACAACAGTTAATCTCATTTAGCTCTCACCAACACCACATAGTAATGGAAGATAACTCCCAGCTACTTTTATAGCACTTCAGTGTTACGTTTAATGTGCTGGACAAGTTCAAAATGTGTCTTGTGTGGGTTTTATTACACTGTGTCTCTCCATCAGTGCATTGATGCTAAAAAAAAGTTTGGTCATCTGCCTTCCTCTAAACGCTCAAACTTATTAACATTCCTGACTCTAATGGACCCTGTGTCATTTGAAGCAAGACGCAGAGAGGAACAACAACACACCCGACACACTTTCTGCTGCCAGCTGCCTGTGAGAAACATCGTAATTATTTACAGCATTGAACGAGCACTCTTTTCACTCAGAAATGAAAAAATAAACACTTCATAATTACTTCATTAATGATAAGTTAAGTGTTCTTCCTGCTCGTGTCACTGCAAAAAAGAGCAGCTTTAACAAGGGAATGATTGACAACCACTTAAATATTTCAACAGCGGTTCAAAGCACTGGTATGCAACTTTGTCCAAATATTCATGCTGCACACAGGATGAATAACTTTCCCGATCCAATGGATTTTCAAAACTGTTCTTAACATGAAAACCAGGCTTGTACAGGCTTTATTACATAAAGTTAAGTTTTAAAGGCACAGCCGTGTGAATAACTGTATGTAAAATGTGTGCTGGTGTCATCAACTCTAGATGACTCAGAACTTTCTCCAACAGGGTGTATTTGAAGTCAAACCATGGTCTTTTTCCCCCAACAGTAACCGAGTCATTTTGGCTCGCAGACGTAACCAAAGTAGAAAAGTGAAAATAAGCAGCTGCGAGAGGGAAAATTGAAACGGTGTCCAGATTCCACCGTTTAGCTGAACGGCAATGAAATGGGTCGTTTTCAGATTGAATGAACAAAGATTGATCCTATCATACTATTTGCTTGTTGGGATTTGCATCTACTTCAAAAACAGCTCAACAGCTATGTTTTTGTGACAAGGAAAAAAAAACACCTGTTATTAAAATTCTCATTGGTTTGTTGTCAGTATGATAAAAGGGTAAAAATGGCAGTATGGTAACAGGTTGCACAGTAAATGTGAATATGTTAAGATGCTGAATATAGAATTAAACAACTGAAAATGAAGCTGCTAGCTCGGCTTACAACTCTGAATCCTGGTTTATTTGATAATTACTCTTTTTCACTAAGTAGTTTTTCCCGAAAGAAAAAGGTCAGGGATGCAAGTGGCAGGAAATGAGCTTCCTCCAAAGCATGTCTGGGATCTGCTTTGGAGATAGAGCAACAAGCTCAAAGAGCTGCTAAACCTCCACAACAAAATGAGAAAGCTGTGGCAGTTTTGACATCTAATTAGGCTGGCACCTGGAAATCTTGTAGGTGAGATGTTTGGGACGTGTCCCATCAGGAGGAGACTGCTGGAAAACACAGAGCAAGCGAGGAAAATTATGTCTCTCAGCTGGGAGCGCCCCCAGATAAGCTGGAGGACATCGCTAGGGAGAGGGATATCCGGGCACCTCTGTTACCTTCTGCCCCCACAAACCATAATTCATCATTGGATGAATATTATATGGATATTTTTCAGCAAAAAATAGGTTACAAGTTCTTAAACCTTAAAACTCTTTAAATGTTGAATTTCTACAATAATAACAAATCATTTTCACATGATTTAAAAAATGAAAACATTGCACTTTTCTGAAACCTTTCCCAGCAATGTTGTGGAGAGCAGACAAATCTTGGGGTTAGCCAAGGTTACAAGAGGCTCCAGCGAAAAGCTGAACCGCCTGTGCCACATGTAACAGCTTTTCTCTCCCCACCCTCGCTGACGGTTAAGGCATCTGTAACTAATCAGTCACCTCCCACTTACAGCAACCTGCGTGTTACATCACCATGTGATTGCTATATTTTCTCATTAAAATATTTTCCCAAGCGTAACACTGAGAGCTACAGGTCGTCTCTAATTTTTCCCCACTAAACCTCTGTAAATCATTCAGCCTCGGTCATGTCCTCCCTCCGCTCGCAGCGTGCTTTGCCCTCATCACTAGTGTGAAACAGAACAAAATCAAGCTTTTTGGATGATATGTAGCACACATGTTTGACTGCACTGAGGAGTTTCAGTTGCAAATGGCTCCACTGATTAGCAGTAAGTGAATTACTACAAGTGATCTCATATGATCTCGATAAGTTAACTAGTACAAAGCGCCATCAGGTATAGCCATGCAGGAAAGGATCAGCGATTATAGTGCAACAGGTCTGACTTTAGAGTAACTAAAGGAGTTTGCAGAAAGCAGAAGAGATAAAAGATTTTAAAAACATGTTTCCATGTTTATTTTAGCAAGAAGCCACGGATGCTTGGTTTCATTGTATTAACAGGCTGGGTATGTGAATACTCTGGCGGGCAGTTTAAGGTTAACAGCTAGTAGTAAAAACAAGGACCTTCATTACAGCCGCAGCTGGTGTGCTCGTCCCAGCTTAATTTTACAAGCGAATCAGTGTTTTTTTCCTTTTTTTATTATTTTCTGGAGTAGAATTTAACCGAATGAACACTTGTCTTGATACATGTGCACATTTTTGGCCAGAATTCTCTTAAACAAAAATATTTAATGGGAAAAAAAGACACATTTAAAAAATGTATTATACCTCTATTACTTGTCTGTTATATAACATTAGGGATGCTCGTGGCAATTCATTTCTTAATCAGCTAAACAGGTCAGTTAAGAAACAGTCAAATATTAAGTTACATTTGAAAACGGTTTAAAAAAAAATATCTCCATTCCAAAAGGTCACATGACAATCTCATTGGCTCACGGAGTTGTGATGTCACTACACTTTGATCCTTTGAAGTTTGACCTTAAATAGGGGTGAGAAACAGCAATTTGTAGTTCGTGTCTTCGCAGCATTTGTGTTTGCAGCTTTCACACGTTCACCACAGAAACTTTTGGAAACCTTTTCAGAGTTGTCGTGTACAACTTTCAACATGTATCCTACAAGACACCAACCAAGGCAAAAAGATTACGCCGCTTCTCCTTCCTGTCGTGGCCGGCCAAATGACCTCTTAGCTGTCCAAAGGGCATTACATGACAGTAGGAAGGAAAACTACCACCTCCAGAATAAAATTCAACAGATTGAAGACGAGAAACTTCAAATGGAGGAGAAGTGTAGACAGATGGAAGCGCAAAATAAGAACCTTGAAGAAAGACAACAACGCCAGCCCGACATAACAATTATTAATGAGGGCTGGGGAATCAAGTTTGGACAAGCCCGAGACCAGATTGTCTTCCTAATTAAGGAAAACAAGCAAAAGAGCGCGGAACTAAAGGAGATGTCCAACCAGCTTAAAGACAGCAAAGCTACTGTTGAGAAGACAGAATGGGATCTCCAATATATGGACCAAAGGAATCGGCTGCTCCAAACAAACTTCAATGAAGCTGTGAAAAAAAATAAAGAAATCCTCCAACAGAAGGAAGAACAGGAGAAAAAGCAAAGAGACATGGAGCACAAACTCAAAGTCACGGAGGAAAAATACACAATGCTGAAAGTAAAGTTGGATGATACACTGCGCCAAAATAAAGACCTTCTTCAAGAGAAAGAAAGATTGAAAGAAGAGAAGTGTATTGTCGAAGACTTTGAGGGTAAAAACCTAAAACTGCAACAGTTTTGTAGTGAACTGAAGGACAAAACAAGTCAACTAGAAAGGGAAAAAGAAAAACTGGACAAACAATGCTCACACATGCAGAAAAGGATGGATCAAATGGCGAGAAACAACTCCGAGCTCACTAAGGGAATATTGTTGGAATACAACAACTTGAAGCGCAAACACACTGAAATGCAGGCGCAAAAGCAAGAACAAGACAACATACATGACGACCTGCAGCGTACGCTCCAAGATATCCACAGAAGAAATGAGGAGCTACAAGACATGTACAAAGAAGTACAACAGAGAAACGCAGACATGCACAAGGACAAGATAATGCAGGAGGAAACATCCAAAGAGCTCAGGGAAAAGCTTGAAGAAAAACAAGCAACCTTGGAAGAGGTGGAGAAAACATGCAAGAAGCTTGAGAAACAAAACAAAGAAACCATCGATGAGTTGAGAACCCTCATCCTGGAAAAAAAAGCTCTTGTAGAAAACTGCATGAAAAAGAAGAACAAACGCTTCCGCTGGCCCTGGAGGAGGAACTCTACTGCTTCCTCACCTGGTGTAGCCTCGTCTTGCTCCACCTCTGTTCACCTCCCCAACCAGTCCCGGCAGTTGACTGTCCCCTCCTGAGCCTGGTTCTGCCGGAGGTTTCTGCCCGTTTAAAGGCAGTTTTTCCTCCCCACTGTCGCCTAGTGCGTGCTCAGAGGGGATTGTTGGGGTTTTCTCTCCTCTACCTTGTTTCATTATTTACTTAACTTTTTGTTCTTACTTCATTTTACCTTGTTTCATTATTTACTTGTTAACGTTTTGTTCTTACTTCATTTTACCTTGTTTCATTATTTACTTGTTAACGTTTTGTTCTTACTTCATTTTACCTTGTTTCTTATTTACTTGTTAACGTTTTGTTCTTACTTCATTTTACCTTGTTTCGTTATTTACTTGTTAACGTTTTGTTCTTACTTCATTTTACCTTGTTTTGTTATTTACTTGTTAACGTTTTGTTCTTACTTCATTTTACCTTGTTTCGTTATTTACTTGTTAACGTTTTGTTCTTACTTCATTTTACCTTGTTTCGTTATTTACTTGTTAACGTTTTGTTCTTACTTCATTTTACCTTGTTTCGTTATTTACTTGTTAACGTTTTGTTCTTACTTCATTTTACCTTGTTTCGTTATTTACTTGTTAACGTTTTGTTCTTACTTCATTTTACCTTGTTTCGTTATTTACTTGTTAACGTTTTGTTCTTACTTCATTTTACCTTGTTTCGTTATTTACTTGTTAACGTTTTGTTCTTACTTCATTTTACCTTGTTTTGTTATTTACTTGTTAACGTTTTGTTCTTACTTCATTTTACCTTGTTTCTTATTTACTTGTTAACGTTTTGTTCTTACTTCATTTTACCTTGTTTCTTATTTACTTGTTAACGTTTTGTTCTTACTTCATTTTACCTTGTTTCATTATTTACTTGTTTACTTTTTCTTTTTCAACTTATTTATAAAACAATAAACCAATTGAATTTATCCTTTGAGTAGTTTTCATCTAATCTTTTCATCTATAACTTTTTCAAACATTCATATCTGTCGTTTATCTTCTTCTTGAAACCTCATAAATGGTGAAGGAAAAATCCTGGAACATGGTTCCAGGAAAAAGATAATTTAAAAAGGATAATTTAAATATGATTAATCTGTTTGGAAATCTGCAGGTAAACTGTCTGTCTGAGAAATTGATCAAATTAGAAGAGAGGTCAGCTGGATATTTAGATGTCACTCCTCCTATGCAAATTAATCAAATTCCTAAAGTGTAGTATTGCTGATTTTGAATAAGACCTTGAAGGACAGAAGACACATTTTCCTGGTAAAAATGATGGCTGTAAAATTGGTGAAAGGGAGCCGGCCAACTGGTCTGCTTCTCCCACCCAGTTTGTCATGGTCCATGGGTCTTTGATCCAAGGTTTTGAGTCTTTGAGTTGAGGATTCATTCTAGTTTTGAATTTTAGGTTCTTTGGATTAGGTTTCTGTCGTGTTAATGTTTTGTTTTCTATTCACAAGGTTGTTTTTAATACATCTTGTTAATTTTCTGATGCTTTGTATAAGTTCTTTATGGTTTACTTTCTAGCCTTGTTTGTGCCTTCAGTTTCTGTTCACTTTAGTGATGTATTTAGTGAGTCTCCCTTTGTGTTTCTGTTCTGGCCCTCCTTCTGTCTCGTCTGTTTGTCTTTATCTTTCAATGTTTCTTCATCTCTGTCTCAATGTCTCACGTTCAGTCTGTCTTCTTGTCTGTTTTCTTTACTTACTTCCTGTCTTTAATTTGAAACATTCAGTTTCCCTTCATGTCTTGCGCAGCTTTTCTTCCTGTCCTGGGCCCTCACTGGTTCCCTGATTGTCTTCATTTCCTCTATCCTCATTACCTCTTGTGTATGTACTTTCTCAGTCTCAGCCTTCTTTGTCATTTGTCGTGTTGTCCATGACCATATCTGTGTGCCATGTAGCTCTGATTTCCATGTGCTGTCTGAATAAGTAATCCTAGTGTTTCTTGGATACTTGTATTCCCTGGCTGTTCTGAGAACTTTGCTATTTTAATTTAATTAGCATTAAATACACACCGTATGTTCGACTTTTGTCTTCTGAGTATTGCATTTAGATATGCAACCTCTTAGACACAGTGATCCATAAGACTGTTGGTTAATTAGTCCAACACTCTAATAAGGGAATTTGTGATAAACCAAAACGGTATGAAAACAGTCATCTCACCACCAAAGCTATCAATTTGATGTGGGAAAATTCTCTTTACGACAAAAGACGTGGGACAAGATATGGCAACTAGATAAGCAGGAATGGATGCAATTTACTGAATGTATTCATACAATGACACTAAGTGTGGTGTGAAGTTACTGCATGAGATGAGCTTTTTCTTTCTGTTTATTTAACCTTATGCTGCTGCAGACCTGTACCACATGTAAAGTGTTGCAAAAATGTTCCAGATAAGACGCCTCGTGTGACTTTTAGGTAAAATATTAACACATGAAGTCATCTTTATTTTTACAACAAGGTTCGCGCTGGAACGGTCTTGTCTTTCAGCGAGCATCTGTGTGTAACCCACATAAAATGAGGGTACCACTTTAATGAGTGATAAATATGAGGAGAGATGGGCAGCCTGCCCAACCAATTGAAATGCACAGGTCCCAGTATGCAGATACTAACCCCATGTTTGCCTACTGGTGGTGGTCAGAGGGCCTGGTGGCGCCAGTGTCCGGCAGCCTCGCCTCTGTCAGTGCGCCCCAGGGCAGCTGTGGCTACAATGTAGCTTGCATCACCAGTGTGTGAATGTGTGTGTGAATGACTGAATGTAGTGTGAAGCGCTTTGGGGTCCTTAGGGACTAGAAAAGCGCTATACAAATGCAGGCCATTTGACCAATGGGAAAGCAGCCTGCCGCTGTATGTCTCACCCACCTACACTGTGTTCGGTGCTATGTGTGGAGGTAGTTGCATGCTAGCAGGAGAAAAGAGAGACTGAGGTTTTTGAGTTAGAAAGAGTATTAGATAAAAGTTTGTAACCAACTGTGCTGCACATAAGTTCGCTGGTTATCAGCTACCTTTCATGTTAAAAGTAGCCAAAGTGAGTAAACAGGCGAATGCTGCAGTTTTCTGGCGACTTTATAAAGTACCGCGTGGAGCTAAACTGTTAGCCTTTGTTAGCTCTGGTCGTTATCAACTGCCTGAAAGTTCATCTCAATCTGCTTCCAGAAGTAAGGTAACACTTGAAGCGCGACAAATGTTTATTTTCTTTCACGTCGCATTACTGTCATTAAAGAGAAAAAAAACCATGTCCTGTTACGTTATTTAGAGCCCCGCATTTTCCGACCGAGAGACACCATACTATTGTCTTCGACGCGTGTGTGTGCTTTTTGTGTGTGTGTGTGCTGAATTGTTCCTGAGGTGGATCCTCAGGAACAATTCCCAGCCTTCCCACCTGGACTTAAAGCAGGGGTGGGCAATTCCAGGCCTCGAGGGCCGGTGTCCTGCGGGTTTTAGATCTCACCTTGGATCAACACACCTGAATCACATGATTAGTTCGTTACCAGGCCTCTGGAGAACTTCAGGACATGTTGAGGAGCTAATTTAGCCATTTAAATCAGCTGTGTTGGTTCAAGGACACATCTAAAACCTGCAGGGACACCGGCCTTCGAGGCCTGGAGTTGCCCAAAGACTGAGATTCGCTTCTTTTCCACTTGATGATCTGCTGCACCTTGCAGTGTGTATCACTCACACTTTAACACAGCTGGTTATTCATAAGACCACTGACTGACATTCTCTCACCCCTATTTTCTTTCACACCCTGGGAAAGAAAATAGGAGTGGACATTTTTTATTTGGGACTTTAAATAATAAGCTGTTGTGTAGAACATTTTCCACATGTGAAAAGAGTGTGAGATTTTCATTTGAATGTACATTGGATTTGTGTAATCTGTTTGTATAAAAGTTAAGGAGTCAGGTTACTAGGGTGCACCCGAGCATTGAAAACCAAAAGGGACACTTGGCCAAGTCATTGTCTTAGTATGTGTTTTACTTTTCTTTCATTTTTTGTAAGTTTCTTTTCTACAATTGTAAAGTGCCTTTAACCTGTGCTTGTCAACCTTATGGTTTATTTCACTAAAGTCGGTTGGTTCTTTTGAGTTACATTCTTGTCTCAGTGTCTCATTTAAACACACCTCTGTGCTCCTATAGTCGAACCTATTGGCCCATTTATATATTATTTTCAGCAATTCCCCTTACTGTGTTACATGTGAGATGCAGGGATCACATACATCCGGCCTCCTGATGACTTTAGCTCCTAAAAAACGCGCAGCTGATGACACTCACCATTTTCCCTCGCTGTTCTCAAACTGCTGGACAGTGTAGCCGAACATATCTTCCAGCGGTCCAGAGAAGGACAAACTGTTCTTCTGGTCCACGTTGAAGGAGAACACGCAGGTCAGCAGCACTGCAAAGATAAAAGTACAGTAAAGGTTACGCATGATAAGACTCGAGAGTGGCGCCGCTTTACTTCCTGTTTGAGTCTGCTGTGCTGCTCTTCAGAGTGGATTTACATAAACTGATGGGCAAATACTGAAACAAAAGATGTGCGTATGCAGTTATTTCTAAGTGCAGAAGCCATAAACACTCAGTAAATATTTCTGAAACCCTCAAGATGCCTCTTCGAAATGGAAAAAAAAAGAGATTACTAAAATACTTTGTAAATGTAATAAATAAAAGTTAGCATTTAGGTATTTTAGTTACAGCAAATATAAATAATTCTATTTATGTCAATATTATTTACGGGTGCATGAAAATGATGTACCCAGATGAGGGCCGAACTTTGTGAACCACAGACACGCACACAGACACACACAGTCATTCTGGAAGAGGAATTTCGAACATCAATGTGAGCCATTTTGGTCAGGGTTCAATCTGACCTCCAGGACAATGGCTTCTTCTCTGCACTCTGCCCAGTCTGGGTCTGTCTGTCACTGAGATGAGTATATCACAGAGCCTCTATATAAATCCATCCATGTCTCATTGTGCCTGCACCACAATGACACTCTTTATATCTACTGTGCCAGGAAATTCCTTCAATATAATTTATTCAATTCCCGGACCTTTGAGGGAGTGTAGAGGAGTAGAAGAACAGTGGGATTAAAAACAGAATGTGCAAAGGCAGACCGCATACATAGACACACAAGGATAAAGCAGCTATTTATCCTTTGATGGTAATGCTTTGTAGCTAATGTGTCTGAGAACTACATTAAAAGGTCTAGACTGAAGTAATTTTACATCTTTTAGCAACACCCAAGAATTGATTATGTTTGTTGGTTTATCCACCAGATATTTCAGTGTGGTCCACACAGCAACATCCCAGACAGATTGCTTTGATATTTAGAAGAGACATTCACGAGCTCCAGAAAATGAATGAATGTTCTTACTCAGTCAAAACATCCCTGAATCTACACAATTTATTCTTCTGATTAAAAGCATAAAATGATTACAGTAGCATCTAAAAGAGAGCCCTGTGAAAGTACACCCCGTGATTTAGCAGCTTATATGATTTTATCAGGACCTTTCCGTGGTTGTGGATGAATTTTGACTCTTCTTTACAGCGCTGCTTCAGTTTAGTGACGTTTGCAGGCATTCGTTTATGCACAACTATCTTAAGGTCCCACCACGGCATTTCAGTCAGGCTGAAGTCTGGACTTAGACTGAACCACTGCAACATCTTCACTCTTTTCTTTTTCAGTCATTCTGCTGTAAGTCTTCTGCTGTGGATGTTATCATTTTCCTGTGGCATGACCCAGTTTTGGTCAAGCTTTATCTGTCGGACAGATGTCCTCATTGTTGACTCTAGAATACTTTGCTGTTCAGAGAAGATCATGGTTGACTCAAAGACTGCAAGGTTCCCGTCCTATGGCCACAAAACAAGCACAAATCATCACCCCTCCACCACCGTGCCTCACAGTCGGTTTGTGCTGCTATGCTGAGTTTGGTTTTTGCATTGTGCATTATGGACAAAAATCTTCACTTTGGTCTTGTCTGTCCAAAGGATATTGTTCCAGAGGTCTTATTCTTTGTTCAGATGTAACTCTACTGCCATGTTCTTTTTAGAGAGACAGAAGCTAAAGTTTTTCACACATATAGGTTTGGCCTTTTTCCCCCTTAAAAATAACCACCTTCATTTAGAAACTACATTTTGTGTTTACTTGTGTTATCTTTGTCTAATATTTAAATTTATTTGATGATCTGACAAAAATGGGAAATCAGGAAGGGAGCAAACACTTTTTCACACCAGTGTAAAGACAATTTGGAATATCTGATATATACAAAATAATTCTGCATACAGTTGGGTCAAAGTAACTACAGAGCCCACTTCAAGAGACCATTTAATTCGACTGTAAAGTAAAGAGTTTTTATATACTGCACTAGGAAGCTGACTTATTTTGGGAGCCAGCGTCTAGTGGTCACTCAAGGAACTTTTGTTTTTCTTCAGCACTGGCTTAATATTTCAGCCGAGGTTGTCTCTTGGCTCCATACATTCAAATGTGCTTACTGGCTTACTAAAATCACAAACTGCTGAAAATGTGGAGTGGTCTCTTGTGCATATTAACAACACAAGAAAGCCACAGAGAGCAATACATGCAGGGATTAGCATATGTAAGCATCCCTCTCTGTAAACAGAGCAGTTGTAAAACTGCTAGTCACGTTTAAATGTCGATCATTTAGATTTGATATAAGATTTCACTTTTTAAATTTCCAGAGACCACGAAGGAGGCCTGCTGAGTCATATACAGGAACCCCAGATGAGAAGTATTATCCCCTCTGTTTCTCCCTCAGTCATTTCTGCACTTCCTCTGTGACCCCCTTTCCATCTCTCAGAGAAGCTCAATTTCCTTTTCCTATTAACCTGATTATACACATCTCCACAAATCCAAAGGTACACACGCACACACGGACACACAGCTAATTTAGCTGATTTAAGATGGCTTCAGGCCAACCAGGCCTTTTCATTCATCACAGACTGAGCTCAAGTACAGTTCAGAGTCAAACCGGCCTGAGTTGTAAATCACTTAGGAACATCATTTGTCCACTGGCAGGCACATACTTTGTGTATACCAATCTCATTTCGCTGTATTGGGTGTCTCCTGGCTCTACTCTCTTCAAATCAGAACCAGTGAAGTTATATAACTGTCTATTTTTGTGAGATGGGCTAACATCTGCCCTGGAAAACCAATAAGCAGTCTTGTCCCTCTGTGGATGGAAATGGCCACATGAGTGTCTGAGGTACTGGCATATATACCCATATGGAAAAGAAATAGTAAAAACATACATGATTTACTCATGAAAGTGGCCACTTTCTCATTACTTTCATATATTTTTTTAGTAAGTATACAAAACATACAAGTTTCATTGTATAATTTTTCAAGGGATCTTATATGTGTTTTCACTCTTGTATGCTTTTCATACAAGTTTCATACAAGACAGATAAAAACTTTATAAGATTTATATATATATCTTTTCCATATGGGTATATTTGTCCATCACTGCTGGAAGGTTCATTATGTACTCAGTCACACATGAGCGTGTATAGCACATCAGTTCATCCTGACTGAAATATCTCAACAACTCCTCAATGGACTCCCATGAAATTTTGTGCAGACACTCATGGTCCCCAGGGGAAATAAAATACTTGCTAAGGTCAAGCTGTGACTTTTCTTTAAGAATGAAACTGATCATTGTGGTTTAAGTGAAATGTGTCAAAAATTACTCATTTAGACCCCCTTCAGGACGAAATGTTCTGACTGCAAAAAAGGACAGAATTAAGCAAGATGTAGGTTTGAGTTGTAAAAGTAAAGCCAATGCAGAAGTGCACTGACTCTTCTTTCCCTTTCATGGGATTATGGGTGACTCAGGTTGCAAACTGACTTCTGGATGTAGGTCTATAAGTCTATGGGAAAATGGCCCTTGGCTTCCTTGCTTTTTGACCTCAGTAAACACTTTCTTGATTACTTTATGACACCAGTTGCTATTTTCAAGTCATACTGAATAAAACATGAAGTTCATTTTGTAAGTTATGGTCATTATCCAGAAAAGGGAATTATCGAGGGTTGAATGACTTGTCAGTCGCTAGCCAATAAGCAAGCAGTGTCACTGTCAAACTCAACTTTACCTCATTAGATATGGTTTCAAAAAACGTTGAAATGCCAGAAACAGTAAGCTTAACAAACTTTGCTTGAGCCTTTCTCCAACAGTAACTGACATATATATACAGTATATACAACTAGCAGAACATCTTTACAGCGTAGATGGAAGGAAATACAGGCTTAGCTTCCTGGTACATTTAAAGGGAAAGAAAAATAAAGCCACTACAGATGTGTCTTTAACCTGTATTCTTTTCTGAAGGCCACCATATGGTGACAGCAAAAAGCAAAACCATCTTTTAAATAGTTTATAGGTTGGCTTAAAAAATGGTAACAAGCTAATTTCTCCTTGGCATTTTTGTACAACTTACCAGTTTCAAGGCAGTAACATTTAAAGTGGCCACTTCAAGTGATGGATGCTTGCTTTTACATCTTGCTGAACATTCAACCCCTTTAAAAGAGCAGTCAGTTGGGCATTACTTTCTGGCAAGTACATTCATTTTAAGCCTATTTGTCAATGGCTAAATTTAGCATCCCATTAAGTATCACAAGAGAACAATGGAAGCACCTTGCTAATTAAGCTAGCTAGCCAACTAGCTACTTTTGGTCTTCCATCCAACCTTTTGTCCATTTTCTGTCATTTAACATTGTCCAGGCCTAATGTACAAACAAATATATGATGTGATAGTGGTTACAAACATCTTTTACTGTTTATAGATAAATAATACTGAGCTTAAAGCAGCATGCTGTCCTTCCATAAACAAAACTGACAGTGCGTTTTAACTTTAAGACAATTTCCCTTTGTTTTGTGCTCCACACTACAAAAACAGCAGAGGCCCACAGCGTCAATGAACACGTCCAAAAAAGCCAAAAAATCTGCATGTCATTTATCAAAATGGAAAACATGCTGACCAGAAATGTCTAATCTAAGTTGGTTTGAATACTGCAAAAGTGATATTACAGTGGGTCTGTTTTCAGTCAAGGACCACGTGGTCCTGATTGATCCCAGCAGTCTGTCAGCCACACAATAAAAGCCCACTGCTCTCTCTGCCACAGTTATCAAAACCAAAGGAAAACCAAAAGACTTTGCTGCTGATACAGCGAGTGCAGAAAGCAGCACCCGCTGACCTGTGAGACATCACTCAACTTAGCACCTGTAGGCTTCAAAGCTTGGCTCAGCTATGGTTAAAAATCTGCATCCCATTGGCACCTGCTCATCTGTAACATATCTAACCATCTATAAAGAGCTTTAAAGCTTAATGCAAATCACCAGCTCTGGGAAACAAAATCATGAAGTGGGCCTGACATTTGACCT